GAAGGTGGAACTCCAGATGGATTCGACAGCTGCGGTCCACCTTCTCTCCGCCACTTCACCAACTAACCACCAGCACGCAAGCCTCGTTCTTGCGCTCCGAGAACTGCAGCAGAGAGACTGGGAAATCCGCATTACACATATTTACAGAGAGGCAAATTTCCTAGCTGATAGCCTTGCTCATCGAGGCCATGGTCTTCCTATTGGTTCCCATGTTATTTGCCCTTCAGATTCGATATTGCTCGTTTGTGTATGTTTGACAATGTTGGTGGTTTCACCATTCATTCCCTTAATGAGTAAGAGGTAGTGGTGCTTTGCACCTTTCTCCCAAAAAAAAAAATTAACTAGTCCAAACTTTGATGGCATATCCGTAAAGCATCAAACTTGGAGGACCGATTTGTTGCTCGTTAGAGATCGTTGCCGATCTGGTTCACAAAGTTTTAAGGACGACGACCATCGAGAAAAGATCCAAAGAACGGCATAACGATCCACGCCCCAAAAGAAAAGGAGCAAGAAACTTTTCTATCATACAAAAAGAAAAGGGCAAGAAAAATCAGACAAACCATTTTTGGGAGGCAGAAGGAAGCAGCGACCCGGGCAGCCAGCCAGCCACCAGTGTTATTATTCCTTCTTCTTCTTCTTCTATTCTCCCCCGATCCCCTCGGAGAATTCTCTCCCTCTCTCTCTCTCTCTCTCTCTCTGCCTGCCGCAGCAATTATACTGAAATAACTAATATCTTTGAAGAAGTTAAGGAAAGTGTTCGTTCCCATCAGAACCCAGCGAAAAGGGACACCAAAGGTGAGAGCTTTTCTTTATTCTGTTTATCTCAGTTCTTCCATCCATCCAGCTTTCTATATTTGATCTGTTACTTCGTACTCTCCGTACACACCCTCTTCCTTTTCTCCCTCTCTCTATGATTGACCAACCCACTTTGCTCAATTGTCTTCTTTCAATCTCAGCCTCAAGTGCTTCAACTAGGAAAGAATACCCTTTTCAATTTCAGATCTTCATTTGGTAGAATTGAGAATTTCTGCTGCTTTTTTTGCTTGGTCTCCTTAGTTTTGCTTCTGCATTTGTTTACCCATCTTGGTCTATTGAATAGTTAGCAATTTGAATGCTAATAAAGTTTTGATCTTTGATCTGGAGCTGCTACTGGGCTACCCTGCTTTTTTGAAACTGCTTCATGTTCTCTATGTATTTCTCTGTTCTTCTGCAAGTTCTGAGTGAATTTATATGTTCTTGAGCAGAAATGATAATAACATGGAAGTTCCCTTCTTCCCCCCTTTTGTGGCTTTTTTCAGAGTTGGTTCCTCTCTAATTTGGCTTGTAATCTGAGTGAAGTCGGGACTCAGCTTCAAACTAAAGGCGGTTTTATGCAGAGGAATCCTGCATAGCGGGAATTTGCTAAACCCTAATTCTCTAGTTAGTCATTTGGTGAGCTGTGAGAAAATTTGCTGGCCAATGGAGGCTGCAGCATTTGATGCCAGGGTTCCACAACCAGAAGGCGAAGAGAACTTAATCGAAGCTGCGAAGCAAATTGTGAAGGCTTTAGGGTCGGGAAAGAATCTCACGGATGATGCAAGGAAAATTTTGGCTGACCTGGGCACCCAATTGTCCACCATAAACATAATCAGTGAGGACAAGGACGGCGACATAGGCGAGCTCGAGGCACAGTTGGATGCAATTCAGGAGAAGATTGCGAATTGGGAGGCTGACCAGTCTATGATATGGGATTCAGGTCCCGATGAAGCTGGTGAGTATATGAATGCCACTCTAGAAGCCCAAAGATTGATTGAAAGATTGGAGAATTTTTGCCCTGGTGGTGGTGGTGGAGATGATGCTGGTAGAAGGGATTTGCTACGCAGGGCGCACGATGTGCTTCAAATGGCAATGGCAAGGCTCGAGCAGGAGTTTACACACTTGCTTGTACAAAACCAGCTACCATTTGAGCGAGACAATGTAGCATCTTTCCGTTCAAGTGAAGATGATGGTCTCGATTTCAACTCGTTTGTCTCCAATGGTGATGATCTTGAGGACCCGAGTAATAGAGATAGCAGTGTCAGCAGGAGCTGGGAGGAACTCACCATTGATATGGTACACCCTGATGCTATCCCAGACCTTAGAGATATTGCTGAGTTGATGTTTGTTTCTGGTTATGGTCACGAATGTTCACAAGCATATATCACTGTTAGAAGGGATGCCTTGGATGAGTGCCTGTTCATTCTCGAAATGGAGAAACTGAGCATCGAGGATGTACTGAAATTGGAATGGGGGAGCCTTAATTCCAAGATTAAAAAGTGGATCCGAGCTTTGAAACAATTTGTCCGAGTCTATCTTGCCAGCGAGAGTTTCCTCAGCGAGCAGATCTTTGGACAGCTCGAGCAATCATCGTGGTCAGTTTATTTCATCGAGGCGTCAAAGGGATCAATGCTGCAGCTGTTGAACTTTGGGGAAGCCATATCTATCGGTCCTCACAAACCAGAGAAGCTCTTCCCTATCCTCGACATGTACGAGACAATTTCAGCTATGATTCCAGACCTAGATTCTCTATATGCAAGTGGAGCTGGTTCGTGTGTCAGAACTGATTGCCACGAGCTTCAAAGAAGGTTAGGTGATTCAGTAAGGGCAGCTTTTTTGGAATTTGAGAATGCAATCGCGACGAGCACTTCAACAATTGCTTTCGCTGGAGGAGGAATCCACCATTTGACACGCTACGTTATGAATTACCTCAATACACTCACTGACTACCAGGAATCGTTGAATTACCTCCTGAAAGACCACAATAGACAGAATGCTGTTGTTATGTCGCCTGATCTAGCTCCATCAACAAGGCAAGAAGATGATGCCAGCGGGGAACCTGCTGCAGACGATTACGCAACCATGGCTCTACACTTCAGGTCGGTCACTTCGATCCTGGAGTGCAATCTTGACGACAAGTCGAGGCTGTACAGGGATCCATCATTGCAGCATGTATTCATGATGAACAATGTCCACTACATGGCACAGAAGGTGAAGAATTCAGCAGCATTAAGGCACGTGTTCAAGGACGAGTGGATCAGAAAGCGCAACTGGAAGTTCCAGCAGCACGCGATGAGCTACGAGAGAGCCACGTGGAGCTCTGTGCTGTCCTTGTTGAAAGACGAAGGAAACTCCCATCCGGGATCGGTCTCTAAAGCTCAACTCAGAGACAGGCTGAAGAATTTCTACGTGGCGTTCGAGGACGTTTACAGGACGCAGACGTCATGGATCATCCCCGATGCTCAGCTACGCGAGGATCTACGGATCTCAACCTCACTCAAGGTCATCCAAGCATACCGGATGTTCATCGGGAGGCACACGAACAGCATCGGTGATAGGCATGTTAGGTATAGTGCTGATGATTTGCAGAATTATTTGCTGGATCTGTATGAAGGGTCTCAGAAGTCATTGCATAATCCTCACCGTAGATGATGATGGTGATTATGATAGTAAAGTGTATTTGTATTAGTATTCATTAATCCATCTACAGATCATTAGGCTTCCTAAGGGGAAAAGGCTGCTACCATGTCTGAAGCTTTCTTTAATCATATACATGTGTAGTTATGTGCATCATGGACGTTGTCTTTTTGGTATCAATCATTATGATAATTGATATGTGATGGGGTTCGAAGTTCAAACATACGAATTTTGGTCAATTTTGGATTGCTTTGACTAGCTTTCAATATTGAATGGTCGTGTTCCATTACCATATACAGGGCATCATTTATGAGTCAATCAACCATTGACCCATTGTACTATCAAGAAAGGGCACGCAGAAAACAGGCCAACGTGCTTGTGGAAATTAAGACAACTTTTACTCTTCTATCACATTCAAATGATTGTTCATTTGATGCTCATCTTGTTCATGTAACTGCATCCGCCTTCCTGCTGGAACTTAAGAGTCTGAGATGCTCCAGGGCAGAGATCCCATTAAGCCCTTTTGCATAGTAATGTTCAATGAATTCCTTCAGGGTAGCTTCCCTGAAAACAGGGAGATTCCTGTCCGATATCAGCTCCTTGAGCGGGCTATAAACTCAGGAGGACAGGAGTTCTCAGGAAGCTGCTGCGGTCTCAAGAAATAGGCCACTGAAATCCTAGGGCCTATTGATTTAGCAACTACTCTGTGGGCTTCACATCAGCCCACTAATCATCACAAAGGACATGAAGACCGCCAATTTGGTCTTGCAGAAGCCAAGTAAGAAAGTTGCTGTCAGAATGACTGTCAGTAAGAAAACGTCTTATGAAAGAAGTCCCTAGAGTAGAAGCCTTTCTTCACTTCAGCATCTTGTTCGTGGAACTTCTTCACTCCGTCGATGGTCTTATCCAGAAGTGAAAACGGCTATAAAAATTGGTAAACGAAACTATATGATAAGCTGTAACAAAGGGATATATGTAAGCCCTTAGTTCAGCATTCTGCAATTGGAGAGATAGGTCGGTCAAGCAGCAGCAAATGGCTGTCCCACCTGCTAAAATCGTAACTGGCTACTAATTTCAGCATCATCTTCAACCCCATCTTCAATTAGCCTGATCCAATCATCCAAGTCAAGATGGTAGAACAGCTTCAATGCAGCAACAACCCATTCTGCCGGTCGAGAAAAAGATGAACCCTGCGTAGAAAGATCGAGTCTTTGTTACCCAAGAGAGCAAAAGATCAAGCTTTGTTCGTATCTGGTACTGTATAACCAGGTCTACTAAGAACATTCAAAAACAAAGACCGAGTGACGTGTTTTTTTCTACAGAGTAGGGCCATGAACAACGACCCCTCCTCCACTCCATAACCCACACAAAAGCTAGAAATGTATAGCCAAAGACTTCCAAGCAAGTCCTGCCATTGACTTCCTTCCATAATATCATGCATGGACTTGCAAATTGCAATTCACCACCACCCATTTCCCCAATCCAGATGGAAGCCGACCCTCAATCAACACTAAGGAATTATAACTAGTACGATCCCCTTGGCTTGATTCTCTACCCGCCGGGAAAAGATGAAGAAACAGGGCATTTGCTCTGTTTTCCTTCTTATAATCTTCACCCTGAATCCCTCTCCCACACTCTCCGCCGGCGACTACACTCCCATCGACAACATAGTCGTCGATTGCGGTTCCACAACCTCCGGCAGCAACAGGGCCGACGACCGGAGCTGGGACGCCGACAACCCTTCGAAATTCCTCCAGCCCGGTTCGGAGTCGGCTTCTTCCACACCAACAGAGCATTCCACAAGGCTCGAAAAAGTGCCTTACCTCTCTGCCAGATGGTCTCGTTCCAACTTCACCTACTCTTTCCCAGTCAACCCCGGCCAGAAATTCATCCGCCTCTACTTCTTCCCGGCTACATACTCTCCCGATTTCAACAAATCTGCCGCCTCCTTCTCCGTCATCGCCGGCCAATTCGCCCTCCTCGACAACTTCATCCCTGATCTCCACCCTCTAGCGACAAAGGAGGACGGATTCCAGTTAGAATTCTGCCTAAACGTGAACCCTAATCAGCAACGTCTCAACCTGACCTTTTCCCCAACCCCCGGCGCTTACGCTTTCGTCAACGGCATCGAAGTCGTCTCCATGCCCACAAATCTCTACTACTCCGACGCCGGCGCTGGGCTCAACATCATCGGTAACGGTAATCAGCAGGGCAGTATCCGAAACGACACCGCGTTGCAGCTGATGTACAGAATCGACGTCGCCGGACAAGGTATCTCTCCCGACGGCGGCACGGGGATGTATCGGAAATGGAGCCCCGACGATAAATACCTCGACATCGATCCTCCTCCGAGCTCTATTTACTACAATGACTCGGTTCCTCTGAACTCGATTTACAGCAACGACTCGATTCAGCTGCAGTACAGAGACGAGATCCATAAGCTCGTTGCGCCGGCGACGGTTTACCGAACTGCCCGGGGAATGTCGTACATCAACGAATTGAATCTGCAATACAATCTCACATGGGGTTTCCCTGTAGATCCTTCGTTTACATACTTTGTCCGGCTCCATTTTTGTGAGATCCAGCCACCGGTCAATGGCCTGGATAACAGGGCTTTCTGGATCTACATCGCAAATCGAACCACCGGGACTTATACGGATGTGATTCAAGAAGCCGGCGGGAATGGATTCCCCTTTTTCAAAGACTACTTGGTCAGAATTGAAGCTGAGGAGGAGAAGAAGCAATTCTTGTTCGTTGCTCTGCATCCTTTCCAGGAAAACAGCGCCTTCTACAATTCGATTCTGAACGGAGCTGAGATCTACAAATTGAGCCTGTCGGGTAGTTTGGCCGGACCGAATCCCACCCGCCCCGCCAGCCCATCGTCACCGGTTCCGTCTTCCTCCTCAACTTCAAGCCCGACAAGATTAATCCTCATTGTTGCCGGCGGCGTCGTGTTAGGTCTCGCCGTGGTCTCTCTCCTGCTTCTCTTCGTCCTCCGCCGGAAGCGGAAATCCAAATCCTCATCGAATTACATCGACGGCGGATCGGCTTCCAAATCGATGCTGCCGTATTCATCCTTCGCATCAACCAACGAGACATCCAAAGATGGCTCCTCGAATCTCCCCTCGGAGCTCTGCCGCCGATTCTCTCTCTCGGAGATCAAATCCGCAACCGGCGACTTCGACGACAACTTCATCATCGGAGTGGGAGGCTTCGGCGACGTGTACAAGGGACTCATCAATTTCAACGGCGGCGGCGGCGCAACCACCGTGGCAATCAAGAGGCTGAAACAGGGGTCGCAGCAGGGAGCAAACGAGTTCCGAACAGAGATCGAGATGCTCTCCCAGCTCCGCCACCGCCACCTCGTCTCCCTGATCGGATACTGCTACGACGACGAGGAGATGATCCTCGTCTACGACTACATGGCTCACGGCACCCTCCGCGACCACCTCTACAACAAATCTCAACGGAGCTCCCCTGCCATTCCCTGGAAACAACGATTGGAGATCTGCATCGGGGCGGCACATGGTCTAGACTACCTACACTCGGGAGCCAGTAACATAATCATCCACCGCGATGTGAAGACGACCAACATCCTCCTCGACGAGAATTGGGTGGCGAAGGTGTCGGACTTCGGGCTCTCGAAAATCGGGCCCACAGCCGGCGCGCAGAACGCGCACGTGAGCACGGTGGTGAAAGGGAGCTTCGGGTACCTGGACCCTGAATACTACCGGCTCCAACGGCTGACGGAGAAATCGGACGTCTACTCCTTTGGGATCGTCTTGTGGGAAGTCCTGACTGCTCGGCCGCCGGTGAATCGGGCAGGGGGGAACGACAAGAGGAAGCTGGTGAGCTTGGCTGAACTGGCGAGGCAGAGTTGCAAGAAGGGCAGAGTGGCGGAAATTGTCGACCGGGATCTCGACGGCGAGATTGCGCCGGAGTGTCTGAAGAAGTTCGCGGAGGTGGCGATGAGCTGCTTGGTGGAGAACGGAGTGGACAGGCCGTCGATGGGGGATGTGGTTTGGGGGCTGGATTTCGCGAAGGAGTTGCAATGCGGCAGCGAGGAGCGGGTGAAGTTGTTGGCCGGCGGCGGTGATGATGGGGGCGGCGACGATGGGATTGCAGAGATGCGTGGCGACTCTTGCTCGATGGAGGGGAGGAAGAGCAGTGGTGGCTCGGGTATGTTTACAACGAACAGTGAGATTGATTTGGGGCCGGGGATGAACGGAATGATGGTTATTAATATTCCGAGTGGCACTATGACGAACGTTGAAGAGAGTTCCGCCAGTCAAGAATACCCCGAAGATGCTTTGTTGGGGTCGAATGTTGTTTTCTCGGAAATTTTGGATCCGAAGGCTCGTTGAAGTTCTTTATGACCAATTTGACTAGGGCTTTTATGCAGGGCTTTGCAGGCTAATAATCCATGTACTTGTGATGACTGATGAGGAAGTTACTATACGTGTGCACCACCGTAAAGTAGAAAGCAGGAAGTGTAAAAGTGGAAATATTAAATTTAGAGAGGTAAGTCATTTGTAAAATTGAGAAAGGAAAAATCATACTCCATTTGGAAGATTACTTGTGGTTATATAAGAAACAAAATGTGTAGTTGCTAGCTAATTAGCCCGAAGGTTGTTCTCCTGAATTTTGGACCCGAAGGCTAGTTTAAGTTTGACCTACGGATTAATTTTGGAGTTAACGGAGACTTATAAGTAGGGATGGCAATGGGTAGGGTCGGGTGCGGGTTTACCTTATACCAACTCCTAACTCGTCGGGTAGAGTCTCTTAAAATACCCGACCAAATAACCACCGGGTATAAAAATGATATAACCATACCCTACCCACCGGGTAACCATGGGTATAAATCCTAAAATGTGAACTTATACACACATATATGCACATACATACTATTGTCCATTAAAAATTCTCAATACTTGTAAATGTTCTAGCTTCAGCAATCCACACAAATAAAAACAGCAAACACATAATAATTGTTCTTGCTTCTACAATCCACACAAACAAAAACACAATACATCATAATTGTTCTAGCTTCAATAATCCACACATAAACAAAAACAGCAAAGACAATATTAGAACCAGACCACATCAAATGCTCACTACTTAACTTATGCTTCATGACATCCATCAAGGCATCATTAGTAGAACAATTATCAAAGGTAATCGTAGATACCTTTGTGTCAATATCCCAAGCAGGTAAAGTTTCAAGAAGAGTTTGAGCAAGCACCTCACTTATGTGCGGGCAAGGAAAAGCGACTGTTGGGTAGGGTTAGGGCTAGGGAAATTGACCATTTGGTTAGCGGGGCGGGTATAATAGGGCGGGTATTATCAATTACCATACCCGTACCCTACCCTTTATTTTGAAACCGGGTATTACCCGTACCCGCCCCTTAACCCGTCAAAGCGGGTAATTATCCTCGTTGACAGGTTACGGTCGGGTAGGGTACCCATGGTTACGGGTTGGATTGACATCCCTACTTATAAGTATGGGTGGACAATGAGTGAGTTGGGTGGATTTCAGTTTTGAACTTACTCATCTGCTTACTAATAAATTTGTATAATTGTGATCCACAATACACCCACACTCTACTTCGGGACGGATTGGGTGGTTGACAGATTGGTGCAGTTGGATTGTGGGTTAACCCGCAAGTGCAATTCTTCGACTAAATATTAGGCAAGTTGTTTTTTTGCCCTGAGCAATATAAAGGGTTGTAAACACGAATTTTACTGATTAGGTTTGGACGAATAAGAATTTTACAGCGAGGTGTGTTTTTCCCCCATGGAGCATGAATGCTTATGGTTTATTGTTTTAACTTTTGGTGGATTCCACAGTTACGGCAAGATCCATGTTTGAGTTTTTCTGTTGAAGACTCTTATCAATCAAGCGATTGATTGTGGCGAGTATCTATCCCCACGTATCCTTTACTTTTATATTTGTTTGAAGATCGATTCGAGCTATCGAAGCTTGAATCATAGTTGCGCGACTTTGACAAAAGAATCTAGACTTTAACGAATTCGGGATTCTTTATCACTAACATTTAAATGGTTCGCAAATTATTGAGACTACATCAGTTTAGACTCCTCCCCGCCAATTTGTCTCCTATGGAGATGTCTAACACTTGTATCAAATATTTCATTGCTTCATCAACCAATTATGTAGAGAAAGTTCATGTTTGATTTGCGACTTAAATATAATTAATAGCTTATAATTTGCATCCTTATATGTAATGAACATTACCCAACATAGTGACCAATAATAGCAGCCCAAAGATATTCTTTATTTTTCTCCTCTAAAAGTCGATGATCAGTGTGTAGTGTCGGTTGCTAAATAAAGTGACTATTCGTTAGTGTCAATAAGAAACAAATGTTTTTCGTGTAAATATGGGGTGCAAGTCATTCATGTGACCTGCAATCCACACCCCATCAATCATCCATCCATAGGAATTTGGGTTATTTACGCTTGAGTCGATATCAAACTGCGGATCACCTACCCACATGCCCACCCCTACTAATAAGTTATACCTTGGGTGGACCGAAGTGGTTCCTCTATTGCGACGATCGAGTTATAGTGAAATTTCCCAAAAACACAAATTTGGGGTGGTTTGCTACACTGTTCGGCTATTTTGGATAGTGGATCGCTTTACACAATAGTGATTTTGGTGGATCGATTTAGTCTGAAGCGATTTGTAGGTGGATCGCTTCAGTTTGTTGTGATTTGCATGTAGATTGCTCCAGCCTGGCGCGACCGACTACTAATATACATCAAAACCCCCACACAATCGTAACTTTGCTTTCGGTTATAATATTGGCACAAAAATAAATTGATTTTTTTTAAACTTTTCCCGAAATACAACTTTTAGAGGATAAGTTTGGAAATATGTGCTGAAAAATCGGATGGAAAAGTTCTAAAAATATACTCAAATCGCTAAAATCCATAAATATTAGTAGTGGATCGCCGTAAATTGAAATCTGATTTTACCGTTGCTGCATAATTTCGTTGTCCCCCTTCTCTAACCTTTTCGTTTCCTTGAACCAAAAAAAAAAAAAAAAAAAAACCTTGTCGTTTCCGTAACGTATTAGGTGTAGGTTTGGCTTATTCGGTTATTCCCAACGGGGCAAGGAGTCAGGATTAGTTTCTCAGTTTCTCTACATAAAGGATAGATCAGCCCCATGAATCTTTTTCCGTACTACCAGTGCTCCACCCGCGGCCTCCTTATGAGCGATTTAAGATCATGGTCCGACCTCCCCCAAGAGGTTCTGAATTTGATACGGCAGAGATTGTTCCGGAGGGATTATTCCAACTTCAGATCCACCTGCCGTGATTGGAATTTCAGACCTGCTTTCGACGAGGCCGTCTACGACAGAGTCGATTCTCCACTGTTGTTGGGTTTCACCAGAAGCGGCACGGATCATGACGGCGGCTCGTCCTTGAGTTGCTGCTGCGAAGCCTATTCTCCTGCTAAGGAGAAGACGTATTACATCAGTGCTCATTCAAAACTGTTTGACGCCCAGATTCACTGCTCCCGCTACGGATGGTTGCTCTTCTCCAGCCTCAACCACTTGTTCTTCTATCACCCATCCACACAAGACACCATCGACCTGCCGGACCTCGGCTCGTACCTCGCAGTTCCCCGCATTAATCGGATGAGCTTCTCGGCACCGCCTACGTCTGCAGATTGCGTCGTGTTCTGCCTCGGCGACATACACTCCAACAAGGAAGTGTACGTTGCTTTCATCCGGAGAGGGCAGCGTTCTTGGAACCTCTATGCCGACGGTGTTCGCAACGTGATGAAGTGGACCGGCGCTCGCCCTCGTAAGTTGGTTGCGAGAAAAATCGGGACGATTCGGGTCAAATCCAGCCCGTGTCGCGCCAAGTTGCAGCACTCCGTAGGGAAATTTTGGTGGTCGAATTCGAATTGTTCCCCTGTTTTCCACAACGGAGCTTTCTACTGTCTGGCCCAGGATGGGAGGCTGGGAGTTCTCGATCCCAAGCAGAAAGCGGAGAAGAAGATGTGGCGGATACTTGATACGTTCTTGGAGGAGGAAGCACGCAGCATGCTTTATCTAGTGGAATGCAGGGGAAAGTTGATATGTATAGTGGTTGGTCGGATGGGAGAATTCGTGAGGATCTATAAGCTTTATGAACCCACAAAACAGTGGCAGCCTGTTGCCAATCTCGGAGACGAAATGATTTTCGTTGGTCATGCGGGGTACTGCAATTCAGTCATGACCTGCGACGACGACGAAGAATTGAAGAACACAATTCACTTCCCAATCTTTCACGAAAGCGGCCGCCACCATGTTTTTTACTCTCTCTCGACCCAACAATTCCATTCCTTCGAGCCCGGGCATCCGTCGATTGACGACTTGTATGACGCGGAGCTCATGTTGAATCGCGCCTGGACGATCCCAAATTTCCAATTTCTAGCCGGGTCGCAGCTGCGTTGGTCGTCGAAACCCAAAAAGAGGCCAAGGATCGCGAAAGATGCAGCAGAGCCGCCGGCTGAATGTCGTGGTTACCGTATTCATCCGCATTATGTCATTAGGAACTTATCTTTCTCATTGGAGCACAAGCAATCGGAAGATGATGATGATGTCGGGGAGAGGAGGGAGGAGCAAGAAGCGCGGCGACCATTTCTAACGTTGTCCAATGAAGAGGGTGAAGAAATGTTGGTCGACTTAGCCAAGGTGCGGCCTACGGCCGACCATCCAAGAAACATGGAGCTAGCTGCGAGGACCAGAGGGAAGCAAGTATATAGCAGTACTGTGTATGGCATTTTAGTAATGATGGATGCCGAGGCTCGTCGGTGTTCCCTATTGGATCTGAAATCCATGACAGAGACGACACTGCCGACTTGGGAGACACCCTTCACCTGCTCTAATGCCATTCTCCATTCGTCCCCGGGCGGCGGATCCAAATTTACGGTGATGGTTTTTGGTGAAATTGAGCGCCAACGGGAAGCAGAGAGTGATGCCTTTGCAATGCTCTGGAGAGATGGTGACAGTGAATGGACAGTACACACACATATGGTGAAAGGATCCAAACCAAACGTAACAGCTACGATCCACAAAGGTAAGATATATGGGTTCCCGAAAAAGAGGCTCGACATGGTTTCGATTGAACTTACACCGGAAAGGTACACAAGCAAACCTGTACCAAAACTTGGTTTTCCTTCTCATAAATGCCCCAAAGGTTCGGACCAGCTGCAAGAAACTTTGGTAGAATGTGGAGGCGAACTCTTACGTTTCGTCAAGTTTGAAACTCCTGGAAGATACGGTGAAGTTATGGATATACAGGCGTTCAAGTTGGATTTGCAAATGATGGTCTGGGAAGAGGTCGAGCATTTGGGAGATCGAGCATTTTTCTGGAGCGACTTGGGATGTTATTTGTGTCGCGCTACTAAATTCGGGTTCCAGAAAAATTCTATTTACTATCTGGAATGGGAAGAACGAAACCTATACAGATTTGACTATACAAACCGTAGCGTTACGATATCCCAACCCGATCCTGTTGTCGTCGATGATAGTTGGGTGCCGGGTGGTTTCATCATGGGATAGAATTAGGAAAAGCGAGGTTTATGCTTCACATGTCTAGCAATGTAGAAGAGGTGTTTACTAGTGTATGGATGAATAAGCTATTTGATTGCATAAGAATTTTGCATGTTAATTGTTATGTAGGGCTTTTACACAAGGAGAATGCTCTGCTATGGATATATTGATCATGAAATAAGTATTGACAGTATTATACACTCTTAATCTTGATATAAATGTGGAATGTTATAGATGAGTTGTCGTTGTACGTTGGTGTTTGCTGCTCAAGTTAACCACTAGCAAAGTAATGAATGAGTGGAATGAATGGCAACTCTGTAGCATTTTCTATTTGTGGGCTGTGTAGATAGAGTGCAAAATGTTTACATCCAATTTTGATACTTTACTAGGTAAGAAGCCCGCGCTTCGCGGCGGGTTGTTTTTCAAAGTGTTGATATCGGGACTGTTTGAATGATTTAAAACGGATTGTTTGATGGCACAAAAAGTGTTTGGTAAATGGCTATATTGAGAATTACTGAACTATAAAAACTCGAAGCAAAATAAAATAAGTGACTGCTACGGACATAAAAGAGTATCCAATTAACCCAATGGAACAATGAATGTGCTAACTGGCATTCAAATGAAAGTCAGGCTCTTAAATTTTGACTAAGTTCAGCATTGATACATGACCGGTTTAAATGAAAGCAAGACAAATCAAGATTATGAAGCACTATAGCGGCTGACCTAACCTTTCCTACTGATTTGAAGAGACTTCATAATTCTAGTGTCTTTTACTAATCCACCTTCCCTTGAAACTCCAAGAGCTCAACCTTCTTTACGTGGCTGTAGGATTGCAGCAAGGATTAAACCAACCACACATACAGAGGTTGTAAGAAGACTGGTTGAACATGACATGAAGTAAAAGGAAATTAATTAGTCAAACTGAGAGGTCCCGAGGCAAAAATATATGTAGGCTATAGCCCTTACCTCTTTGCATAAATCTATAATGTCAGTGAATGACACCAATCTGCTGTAGTTTTCCTTAACCAAGACATGATGCCAAAACATATGTACTTGTATTAATCCTGAATTGTAGGCATGATTGGATTAGTGAGCTCAATCCTTATTCTAAAAGCATAATATGAGTAATAGATATATGGTTAGTAAAACTATTGTTCATCTTGTATTATTACCGAATTGCAGGCATGATCGGAATAGTGAGTTCAATCCTTGTTCTAACAGCATAATATGAGCATTAGATATGTGGTAACTAAAGTTGTTCCAAGAGCTCAACCTTCATCTTGTAGAACATGTTGTAATGAAGAATATCGACACTCCTAAGAACCCAACTGACACATCAAAACCAACGAATCTTGATAAAATCACACTGATAGTGTTATAGATTACCACACAATTCATGTCCAACTGAATTCTCCAACATTCGTGCATCTGTCTACAAACCTAAATAGATTTCTAGGAAGGCTCATACAATGGAGCTTACAACAGCAAACATAAAGGCAACAAAACTTGCAAACAGTGATGGCCACCAGACTAATGTATCGAGCAAGATTTGACCTTTCAGTTCTTTTACTGTAATACTAACTACAACAGATTATGGATGAAATTAGATAAAACATTATTCATCTTTAATCTCTGTAAAAGGTTTGAGAAAGGGCAAAAAAAAAAAAAGGTTAAGTTACATGGTCAATCTTAAAACCAAAATGGGAACGGAATAACGAAGTCAAAGTGTAAACTCTAGTTACCTTGAGCTGGGTTATTTCGGAGTCTTAAAGTCTTTGGAGTGTGGGACTAAAGCCATAAAAATGCCTGGAAGGTGCTATAGAAGGTTAAAAAGCACCAGTTGCAGGTCTTCAACTCGATCCCAATAACATGATTTGTCTGTTATGGTTTCCTTCTTTACTGAAACCCAAACTTGTATTGCTTATTTGTTTGAAAAGCAATCAAAACCTCAATGCTAAGAAGTTTCAAAATGAATCCAATCATATCTAAACAACCATTGCAAGGAAGTACCTTGTAAAAAAAAGATTAAGTTGGAACCAGTGGGTGAAGACTTTCGAAATGTGTTGTTTAGAAGGTAAGCACCCAAACTGAGTAAGCTAAACCTGTGAATCACTGAGCAATTAAACAGTTAAAGTATGGACACAGGAAAAAGGATCTAGGTTGAATGTGCAAAGCGGTAAAAGAACGTAATGTTTACAGCAAAATTTCATATGTCAAACAATTCTAGATTTGCTCTATACATAAAGCTCTCACTATACCAATGTTATGATTTGCAAGTTCATTGGTAGTAAAGATGTAACAATCAGCCTTCCACCACTATCTAAATGTAATCCTACACATTTTATTAATTACAAATCAACCCAAAGATGGTACATCTATAGATCAATTAAATCTACTAATTGCAGTAAATTTCGTATTGAGATTGTGACCAAGAATTGTCGGTTACCTCAGCATGAAGCTTGAAATCTCTTTGGAAGTGTTGTGACCTGTCCACGCCTCTAGATTTTGACCTTCTAGGCAGGATCTTCGCTTTAGAGTCTGAATTGATAACAGTTGTGTGAGGCTTCCCCTCATACCACTATTGGTGAAAGAAAGAAACTCCTTTCAGATTATGCACAAATGACTATCATCTCTGAAGGATTACTTGTCACAGCTTGATCAAGATGTTGAGTATTCCTCCAGTAATATAGTCACTGCTATAAGTTAGTCATGGTGTCCAATGCCTGCGTCAAAGCATCCTCACCAGTCAATCGCTTCTTAAATCCAGACTCAATTGAAAGAGAAGCACCATCTAATTCATACTACTAATCGACTGCAACAGAAGATGTCATCAATGAACAAAAGCTTAAACAAATACCAAGCACATTGAGCAAAATATTGGACGAAATTGCACCCTAAAAGTCCAGAATGAGATCAATAGGTAAACTCTAAAGGAAAGCAAGACAAAATTGAACAACCATAAATTTGATGATACTCAGCAAGAACATTAAGCAAGAGCAAGATATCAAAACACATAATATGATTAAAAACTAAAAGGAAATAAAATTTAAAAGCCACCTAGAACATTTCCTACCTTTGCCAGCCAGCTACGTTGGTGCTGTCGTTGCTGACAACCGTCGGGACAGCCTATAGCGACTTTTTTTTTCTTCTTCCCTTTGGTAAAATCAAATTAAAGACAAAAACATATCAGAACCGGATCAAGGAAAGCAAGACCCAGAACCAAAATCCAAAAAGAAACTTACCCAGAGACCGGTGGCTAGCCCTCATCCCCTCTGCTGCATTCAGTAATATACACTGGTAAACGTTCCTCCCTTATCCTAACTCTTGACCGAACTTGAAAACCCAAAAATAAAATCTGATTAGATTGCAGAACCCAACGAATGAAAAATCCAAACATACCAAAACCGAAAAGAAAAACAAATTGACAAAAAAGAAGTCATAAAAAAAAATATATGGTTTGCATTCGATAAAATCAAGGATCAACATATGAGTTTCTTCATCAGGTTGGCAAAATTTAAATAATAGGCTAATGAAGAAAAATAAGGTAAAAAAAATGCTTCACCTCACCAAATAAACCATATTTAAGAAAGGAAATACAAAACTTCATCAAGAACAGAGACTTCTCCCATTTTCAAATGCGGAGAAAGACTGAAAAAGCATATAACAGTAAAGAGCACAAACGGGAAATTATGTTCTTGTTGTTGATTATTTATATCATCTCAATATTTCGTTACTAAAGGAAGCAACTAACTGCCAAGGATGAGAAAGGGCTCTTGCATTTTCAAATGCGGAGAAAGACTGAAAGAGCATATAACAGTAAAGACCATAAACGGAAAATTATGTTCTTGTTGTTGATTATTTATACCATCTCAATATTTCCTTACTAAAGGAAGCAACTAACTGCCGAGGATGAGAAAGGGCTCTTGCATTTGCCTATGATGGATCCTAATGCCTTGATTCAGAACAATGTTTCTCATTGAAGCTAGCAAGCATGTGATTTACAGTTGATGGTCAAACAATGGACAAACTTGGCCGAAACTCTGGCTCCACAGCTTTTAAGTGCTCATCACACACTTATAACCCACATTCCATAAAATTGTAAACTCCAAGGATCCTCTAATTATGTATTAATTGCAACTTATTCATCAATCCTTTTGTTACTTTAATATCAAAATTCCATATTTCTCTCATCAAGTAATATCAAACAAATATTTCTATCAAAGCATCCAACGATCATTTTCACAACCAGAAAAATCCAATCTTTACTCAAAACAATTACAAATGCAGCAGCCATGTAACATCATTGAGGTAGCTAAACCGATCATAGGCTATTTTCATGAATCAACACCAATCCAGAACATAACATGGCAGGTGGAAAGTTTGCAATATAATTACATTGCCATATAAATAGGAAGAACCATTCCAGCCACTAACTAATTAAGAAGGGCACAACTAAAAGCTGAAAGTGAATAGATTGGCAGCTGCCAAAGTTAGAAATCCATTGCAATTTGTTTTTTCAATAGGTTCTACAAAAAAGCAACTCAAAATGTACATAATAGAACTACACAGTAATTAATGGTACCTGAACAACAAACCCATAATTGTGACTACATCAGAATTCTTCATTTCATCTCAGCCTCTCTGTATGTCTGGTTGCATCCTGCAAGTGACAATCGAGATGAGTCGGTAACAAAAGCATTTAACACCCTCTTATGCGTTTTTTTAATTCTTATTTTAAGACCATATAAATACCCAAGCAAAGATATTAATGAATAACCCAATGTAAAAAGAGAGAGAGAGAGAGAGAGCTGCAAAAACTTTGAATTTGATAAAGAAAGCAGGAAAACTTATATAACAATAAAAATGTCTCGTTATGGGAGCTCACCTGACACCAACACCATCACAACAAAAACAAAAGGGAAACTTAAGCAGATTGAGCCTATCTGAAAGCACGGAAAGCGAGTAGAGGGTAAACCCCAAATCAGGCCAAACCTGAATTGAAAACAGGGAAGCAGATCGAATAGCTTCTGCAGTGCTCCCATCCCATTCATCACACCAAGACACCGCCAGAAGCTCTAGCTTCACTTTTGCCTACATCAATCCTTATACTCTCGATATCTAAGCATTTTTAGTTCAATACAAACACTTTGACTGGATTAGGTATCTACAGCCCTACAGGATACATCGCCTTTTTTCCGATCTCTCAATCATAATCATTAGTCACTCAACACACACAACACTACTAATTCACTTGTACAATATAGTTTCAAGATAAGAATAAGGATGGATGATATAATTAACTGCAAAATACATAAGATATGTATTAATTGAATTTTGTGGCTGAGGAAACAAAAATAGCTCCTCAAGTGTCCAAGTGAATTACCATGCTCTTATTTGTTGAAATCTGAGCTCCTTTGCAATGCTGGATCATTGTATTGTTGCTACTTCTGCTAGTTGTATGGTTCCTGCTGCAGCTGGCTTACTTGTTATGTTGTTGTGCTGCCGTTACCACTCCTTCCCTTGTTGTTATGGTGAAAGCAGTAACTAAGCATACCTTAGAACCAACTCTGCAGATTGCAGTTTGTGAAAGCAGCGAATGAGCAAGGAAGGTGAGATCCCTACAGCGGATGAACCACATATGACATTCAACTCTGTAAACTGTAGTTTGTTTTAGCAGTGGAACTGCAAATGGTTTAAAGAAACAATAAGAGTTACGACATTGCCACCGAGCAAAAAACAATATACCAAATATGGTAATGAAACATGAAAAATAAAGAAAACACCATTTCTTATATATATGATAGATAAATCTGCAAGCCATACACTACAGAGGAAAAAAACGAAGGCTTAGAACTAATATCTGATACATATAGGAAGATAGAGATAATTTGCATGCTTCCATTTCCATTCGTTGAATCTTATTATATGACAGAAAAGACTATTTACATCCTTCCATTTTCATTCAATGGGAGACTATAACAGAAAATAAACACAGAGCTAACCAAATCACGTTTAGACCATCAATGAAACCTGACTACTAATTCAACTTCAAGATTTTCATTACTTTTAAGCAGGCATTCGCTGGCAAAGAGGAATTTGTATTTGAATTATGGTTACTTTCACTATCAATGGTAGCTTTAAACATACGATCTCGTGCTTACCGTAGTTTTAATAAGGGCTTGCAGCAACCTGATTACAAATCCTTGATGACAACCACATACATTTGATGAGCACCTGATAGTGCCACCCAGAAGCTCCTGTGTTGTGCCCTCAAGGTACCTTTGTTCCGGCCTGTCCGATTCGTGGAAGCAAGCTCCACTCTGGTATTTCATTAAACACCATTCATATATATCAGTTTAAACTTTAAAAGAAAAAGGCTTAAAACCTTCTGCATTAGGCAATTCTAAAAACTGTAAGTACATACTGTTAAAAGACAATAACCAAGTATCTAAAGAATCTGGAGGCCAATAAAATCAGAACTGTGATATCAGTAATGGAATCATCAAATTCTGCAAATAAACACAAATCTGGACTATAACATGTACATACCCGCTAAACACAACCTACCCTCAATCACAACCCCCAGAAAGCACCACTACATTTAAAAAACCCTGGCTAAGCCTCACACTAAGCAGTTACAAAAAAGGATGAGTACACTGCTCATACTGAATGCATTACGGCAGCCACTGGAAATCATGGTAGATCCAACCATTATCGTTTGCACAAATTTACATTACAGAGAAGCATATTCTCAATACTAAGAATGATGATGCACCAACAGATAACTCTTATGTTGATATGTGTTGCTAAATGTGGAGATCTACTGCGCCTGACTCTTAAAATGCAAGCATACTTGCATAAGCAATGGCAATAGCCTGAAGGAAGGAATACATTGCATGTAGGAAAATAACCAGGAAGAAAAAGAAGGAAGCATAAACTAAATGGAATTCCACAGTTTACTTGAAACAGAAGGCATGCATGGAACTCTAACTGGTATGTATTTTGTCTTGGAAACTGACAAAGCGTAGCAAACGAAAATGTAAAAGGAAAACCAAAAGATAACCTTCCCAAATGAATCAACAGATATGATTGTTCAACACAGATTTAACTCTGTAGAAGCCAGCCACCAAAGACTGCAAAAAAAGCACACAAAAACACAGCACAACATAAGTTATCTATAAACAGCACAACATAAGTTTATTTGAGGAAAAAAGAGGATTCGAGTTTATAAACTTGTTGCACTGCGGAGAAGTTTGCATTCTTGATAGATCATGAGCAACCTACAAATCTTTTCAAACATAGAAGCATTGTCTCTGAGAGCTTTCTCCAAGTCAGATCATAATGATTGAAGCAATTTGTTCAGAACACTCAATTAACATGCCTCCTAAACATTAAGCTAGCCAATTGAATTAGTAAACAGATGTTATTAGACAAAATATTGCCAGCTAAAAACCAGAAAATTCAAGTACATTTCACATAGTTAACAGAAGTTGAGATCAATTTTACCAATCAATACCGAAGGTCGTTTTAAGTATCATCTTCTGTGAACAACTACTTCAGTCCCGAATTTCAATACCAAAATTTGATAATCAAATGGAATAAGGTACCTAAACATAATTTAATTATTCCTGTTTATTTCTATCAATTGTATTCGAGATGGTCATCTAAGCAAAAGTTATTTTCCACACCAATCTATCAGCAACAGAAAGGTATCCTACCAAATAGAGGTTATGCAAAAAAAATGCTCAGCACATTGTTTTGTCCAATTGTCATTTGAAAACATTTTCCCACGAGGCACAACTGCTTCTGTTTAGATTTGCAAGCTTACCAGTACATGTTAAAGAAATAAAAGCATGCAAGGGAACATTATAAATCCATTAGTACATGGATGTAAGATAGATGGGGGCACTGAACAAACAATCAGCAGGAACCATAAATAGAAATAACCTGTAAGGCATTACAACAGGAGGCATCCACTTAGTTGAAGGGCTTTAGTTATTCAAGACCTCCCTTCCGTGATTACCCTCGCCAGAAACGACCCCATAATATCTCCACCCACCTTTCCTCCGTCGTTACACTGCACACTTCCCTCCGTCCTTCCCCTGATCTGAAACAAAGTGAGAAGCTATACTCTTCGTCGTTCCAATTGCTCAGAAACGATCCTATAATCTTCCACCCACCTTTCCTCTGTCATTCCTCTGCATACTTCCCTCGATCGTTCCCTAACCAGAATTGAAATGAGAAGCGCCAGCCGACCCACTCCAGAAATGAACCCAGAACCAGCCCACTCTCCCCCTATTCCTCTATCCCGATTGCCTTTGCTTTTGAGACAAAAAATTTAACTCTATAAAGGGAAAGAATGATGGGAGGGAGAATGGGGAATGTTCTGGTGCATTCTATTGGAGAAGGGAGACCTCAAAAATTAAATCTGCAAGAAACACAAGGTATTCAGAATCCAAATCAATCAAAACCATATTACAATAAAAAAACTTGAGGAATGAAAAAACATACCATAACAAAGTGCTCTCTCTGGACATCGTCGTCATCAGAGAAGCTTAGGCTGCCGGCGGCGGCTCCTTTCTCCCTTTTCTTCCACCTCGACCAAAATAAAAATTAAACATTATGAACTCCTTAACTCCACAAACATAGAATCAAATCAACCCAAAAAAAGGTCTTGTGGACTTTCATGTACGACCGGTACCTTATTCTCCCTTCACTTTTCTGAGACGAATTCTTCTTCTTACCGGTGTCTTTTCCTCGTCGTTGCCGACAGTGAAACTTGGACTGCTGGCGCCGGGTCCTTTTCCCCTTTCTTTCACCACTAAAATAAAAGAAACACATCAGAACCCTTACGATCCCCAAACATTGAGTTAATTCAACCAAAAAAATTTGTATTAAGTGGGAGATGAGGGGCACAGCATTGTCCACAAAAACAGCTTTTGAGAAACAACAACTGAATCATTCGACTGGAGAAGATGACCTGTAATGATTGAAAAAAACCTACCAGAGTAAGGGATTCTCACCATTGCATTTCATCATTGCATTTCATAGATCCACCAAGTCAGCAACGCTTCTCTGAGCTCTCCCATGGCTGCATTTCAGTAAGAGGTCAGATACAGATTCAAATGGAACACAAAACTTATATCACATCAAACAGGCAAAGCACGAAATTCATAGCTTTGGTGGCTCTAAAAAACACCCACCAGCAGCTCTACCAGACATATTATCCAGAGAATTCGGAGAGAACAACAGCGCACAACCTTGGTTTTTGCATATCAATCAATTCAATTAGGACTGGCAAGATCTGGTTACTCTTTATTTCTTGTATATGTACACATATTTCAGCTGAAAGAGCAATTTAGACAACACATTTAAGTTTTGCCTTCTGCACCCTTCATTCTAGCCTCCAACCAACATACAACATTTGACAAACAGAGATGAATTCAAACATCGTTTCACATAAAGACAGACAGAATCTGCAAGTGGAAGGCTCTTAAAACGTATATATCCTAACCATTTGCAACTAACCAGTTCATCTAACTCTTAAGCACCTCCATGTATTTATAAATTGACAGCTGTAATCTGTAATGTGATCATGAATATCATAACCAATAAACAAAAGAACAAACAACATCGAAACAATTAACCACTACGAACCAAGAGCTGAAACGCTTGCAAGTGCTCAATGGGTGCTAAATGAGAACATTGCAGCTATCATTTCCCTTGTAATGAAGTAGTAAATATGAGCCCCCAAGAACCATGAAAAAATGTTACTACGGGGTTTGAAAGCAGTAAAATATGAGCATGACGTAAAAATGAGCATTAAAAACCAGCATACCTTGAGAAAGATAACAGCATAAACAAACCAAAGCGAAAATGGCCAGCAGGAACCATAATGCATTTGCTACAGATCCTATCCGACACCTTCTGAACCATTTAACAACTTCTTTCTTCTTCCTTGTCATGCCTGCAGCTTAGAAGCTTTAATAAGTCTAATACTGAATAATATATTTAGCATCCGTTAATGAAGCAAGCATTCACTGAATAAAATAACTGTAAGAGAGAAATTAGTGTCTTCTCATTTAGAGTTAGTATATTAATGGACCTCTAATACTCCCTTCACCAATTTCAATGACCAATTGAATCAACACCCATCATCATTCAACACAGATTAGAAGCACAACAATCATGTTCCGTAGAAGCTCTTCTACGTGTTGTTTATGTACCTTTCAGAAAACACATAACTGATGAATAGGTCATTTTCCATTCTGTATGCAATCTCTCGTACTTCTTAGCACTAATACATACAATAAGGCGACCGCAACTCAAGCTAATAGGCAAAGCATACATAACCATCAATGAATTCCAAAACTCAGGAAAAAGACTAAGCAGATCAAATTAGGAATCCTCCTTACCACAACATAATGGCAAAGGCAAGCGAGAGCTGGAAAACCCAGCAAGCGACTTGAAAGGCTTACATGAAAAATCAGTCCAAGCTTGAGCGAAGTATGCTGAAAGCACGCAAAACACCCGATGCCAAACCACCAGGAGGCGAGACACTTTCGGCATCACAGGTGCATCAAACAACACCATCACGGAGCTTGGCCACGAAAATCAAATTGCGAATTAACATAGATTCCAGCACCATTATCGAGATCGAATGCAAGAGTCAAACTCTGCTCTGAGGACAAAAATAACAGAGAAAAACAAACATGAAAAAGAGTCAAAATCACAAAATTAAAAGAGCAAGACGCAAATCCTAAAATTAATCGAAGAACATAAACAAATAGAAGAGAAACTAACCATTCAAACCAATAACGGGTCAGAATAAAGTAAACCACGGTATGATCTTGGCACGACGATCCCGGCGTCGAGAACTTCCCCTTGCGTCGCGTGATGGCGTGAGGTGAGAAAAACAGTGGCGTGAGGAGAGAAAAACAGCAGTACTGTTTATCCTGGAGCTTCGATAACAGGAACAACTTCGTCTCTGTCACCTTTCTTCCCCCTTCTTCTTCTGTCTTCGTGTTCGCCTTGTTCGTCTTCCTAAGCTGCGAACATGAGATTTAATGGGGGGAAATCATAAACTATGCAGCTGCTTACAGCTAAGACCTTGTCTTCATCTTTGCATTATTCATATCAGAGTAAGAATGACCGGCACACGGATCAAACTAACATCCCAAATATGATTTTTTGTTCAGGCATAACACCCATAACCATGATTCGACCAAACATGGACCCATCACACAGGCAAATTAACAGAAGACCTGCAAAAGTTAAATTACCTAGCTTCTTTTATGCTAAACCAGTCCTCTCATATTCTTCCCTCTGCCACCAAATAATGAACCAAATCTATAAAGTATGCAAGGACCAAAATACGTAGAGCTGAAAATCCACAAAATAAAAGAAGAAGACTGAACACACTATTAAAAACATAACCAAACCCCAAAAAGAAAAGGAAAAGCTTGCCTTGATAGTGCTAGAGAGCAGTGGCCAGCACTCGTCTCCTCTGCTACTTCCGGAAATCAAGAACAGTAACTGCTCCTCCATTATCCTGCCTATTGTTCAAAATCCAAAAAGGCAAATGAAAATGGCTCTCACCCGCCGTTAGACCATCACCGGCGCCGTTTGCCGACCTTCGCATCGCACCATCGTCAAACAAAAGATAAGCAATCACTTTCTTTTTCTAATTGAAAAACCCAGAAACAAAAGATAAGCAGCAATAAGAACTCACGGCAAAAAAATCCAAAAAGGCAAACGAAAACGGCTCTCACCCGTCGTTGGCTCTCACTTCTTCTTTGGCTGCCCCTCCTCTCTTCTTTCACGTTCTTTCTTCTTCTTCTATCACTTAATCAGTTTTCAATCACTGAGAGAGAAGGAGAGAGGGAGAGTAATCTTCCATCATATCTTTCCCCACAAAATCCAAACTGTAAAGAATGAGCAAAAGTGATGAACAAACCCATCAAAAAACAGAATCAACAAACAGGGATGAACAAAAACCCTGAAAACTAAGAATCTAAAGTAAGAAGGGATTAGAAGCTTACTCTATATCCATGTATGATCGATATTATGATCAAGGCAAAGAGATTACAGGTTGGTGCGGGATTGGAAAGAGGAAGAGAATGGAGGGAAAATATTAAATGAATGGAACACCAAAGTAGCTTTTTCTCTTATTCTTCTTCTTCCAACAGAGTGAGGAGAGTGAGTGGCTGAGAAATGGTATGTGAGAAGTAGGAAAAGGATAGGAAGAGAGAGTTGAGGAAGGAAAGTCTTTGTTTGTCAGATGGGAAGTGACGGGAGCAGGCCAAGTATTATGGGAAAGAGGACCCAATGGAAGAGACCAAAAAAGCAAACCAAGTCACAGAAGGCAACCAAGAATTGATTAGGAGAACCAAAAAGCAAACTAAGTAACAGTAGTTGGATGTGACTCTACCAAACAGTAAAGTTGTAACTTGTTCTTTTAAAGAGATAATAGTCGAAGGAACTCAAATAAACCAAATAAACATTGTCTAGTTAATATATAAAAGCCTTGGTTACAATCACTGTTCATTAGTGACCTCCACTCTCTTCTTTGTGACTGGGCAATCTCCAAACCATTGCCTTCATTCGCCCACGTTAATATATAAAAGCCTTGGTTACAATCACTGTTCATTAGTGACCTCCACTCTCTTCTTTGTGACTGGGCAATCTCCAAACCATTGCCTTCATTCGCCCACGTGCCTAGCTTCCCCTCTCACACAAATGCCCACTCCTCCTTATTACCCCACTCGCCAATAAAAGACCTTTGGATCCAGCCTTTCTCCATCAGTTACTCATCAAAACTCTGATTTCCAGGAAACAATTCATTAGTTCTCAACAAAGGATCCTCGCCACTTTACCTTCTCTTCCTTCTTCTGATTTCTCTCCTGCCATAAGCAACCTTCTGCTTCATCTTATCTTCTCCTCCATACCACACAAACTCTCCCTTTTGTTCGTCGGTTCAGAACCTCTCTCCCCTTTCCATCTACTTCCGATGACTCTTTCCCCAATCCCCACACACTATCTTGCCGCTTCGCCGACCCGAGATCCACGGAATCCCACCAGAACCTTCTGTTTAGAGAAAATCCTCCCATACCCTACACACTCTCGGCAGAATACTGCCTTCCCTCTCCTGCATCGTTTCAATTGCCCTCTCCCAAAGCTCGATTCTGAACCCCCGTGCTTCGTTTGGCCGTTACCCCACCAAAACTGTAGTTGCCTTTCAATCGACCACTTTTCAGCTAATGCCCCGCAACGGCGTGACGGGAAGGAGAGTAGTTGATGTAGAGGAAGAAGTTGAGGTGGAGAACGCGGCGGCGGCGGAGGTACATCGATCGCTCTCGCCCTTTTCGGCAAAAACCCAGGTACCGATCTCTCTCTCTCTCTCTCTTTCTCTATTTAAGAAAGGAATTGTTGGAATGGAGAAAGAAGTTTAAGAGGAGGTCATGGCGGCAACGAGCTCCTTCATGGAGGAATCACAAGGGAGATTTGAACTCGGTGGACAAGCACCAGCGCCAGCTCGAGGTCCGACTCCGGCAGCTCTAATGCGGAAGGCGACGACGACTAGAAGAATGCCGACTACAGCGAATTTTTTCCTTCCCTCCATTCACCCAACTCAATGTGGTTCCGTTGAGGGAAAGATTGAGTTTCATTTTGTTGATGGGTTGTATGTTATCTGCTTTTGTGGCTTATGTTGGTTATTGCGGCTGACCTCAGGAAAGCTATGGACAACACTCTACTCGATCTCCCAAAGCTGAAGCGCCACATCTACGCTGTCTTCTTCTGCCTCAAAATCGGTCTCAACCTCTACATCCAGCTCTCTTCAAATTCATTTACTTTGGTGGGTGCATTTTCCTTCCACTTTTCCCCATTTCTGGCATTTCATTGTGGGACTCTAATGTCAAGGAATGCATGGATTGGCTCTAGGTTACGATAGAACTCATTCGTGATATTTTGGATCAAAAAGTACCTCTTGCCAAAGCAACCTAAGCTGCCTTACAAGAAAAATAAAGTTACAGTTTCTTTTCATTCCATCCTTTTCCCAAAATCCACATCGATTTCAGCTTCTAGAGTATTTGTGCTTACATTGTTGTTTCAGTCTCTCATTGATTAGGTTATGTTCAGTGTTCAGCTTCTGTTAGATCGGGTAGCTTTCCAATCGTGAAATGTCTTTTATCAGTTGAAGTTAATTGATTGCACTATTAATTCGTTTTTAGAAAATTTTGTTGACTTTGTTTGGTTGTTGATATCTTTGTTATGTGTCATGTTGTAAACATAACTACCATTTCATAAAATTCGGTTGCGATAGTCTGGAAGGAGAAATGTGCTTCCTACAAGCTAGAAGCCATCATTAGTTAGAAGCTCTATCAAACAGCTCCATTGTTTGCCTAGAGCGTCTGTGGGTTAACAAAAGTTGGTTAGCAACTTCCATTATACTGTTCGATTTCTAAGCCCCTTGGTCGATTAGGTTATGTTGTTTGCCACTGCCACTATGGATTCAGAGTGTTTTACTAACAAGCTGTAACATATTTGTACTATCCATTTCGTCAGAGGCTTCAATTTTTCTCTATGGCATTTGCTACATAAACCTTCACATATGGACTTTGCTGGTCTCTTTGGTATTCAATGGACCAGTAAGGGCATTTGTTTATACTTTTTGGTTGATCTGTGATCATAAATACAAAAAAAAACTGAATTGCCATCCATTCAAAAGGAAAGAACCCAAAACCCGTCAACCACCCCTAGACTAATTGATCACAACTTACACCAGTACTTTCCCTTTCACTCTCTCATGAGGTTTCTCCCTCTTTCCATGAAATTCAGATTTGTTATTGTGTTTGCTGTTGTGTTACTCTTTCCATGACAAAAACATTGTCAAACTGTATGGAATCTATCAAATTGTTAAGGTTTTTGTTCTACCATATGTCTGCATTTCACAACTCTTCAAGATGAAGATCTTAATGTGGTCCTCATAGTCAAATGAGGGGAATTATGTGTTGCCTCTGCAAGTTTTCTATCTGCTGCAACTTTGTGGCTTTAACCTATCCCACAATGGCTTTACTTCTTTTTTTATCTGACATTTTACTTTTCACAGTACAATTGGAATCTGTCGTCGAGAGATTAATTGCATATGAAGTAACGAGCAAAACTTAGATTGAAAAGAAAGGTTCAATTTGGTTGTATCATTCTGATGTACTCAGAGATTGGGGAGGACAGACGGACCAGCATAATTTTATGCAGATTGGGGAGGATACGTAAAGAGGGATAGGTACCCTTTTCCTTTTTTTACTTGGTTATTCATTTCATCTGATGTTCATTTAAGTTTCGAACTATGTAGTTTCTTTTCTTTCTTGGAAAGTATCCGCCATAGAGGAAGCATACAGGACATTCGATTAATAATGGTTCTAATTACAACAGAGGCATGAACTACTTGGGATTTGTTTGTACTAAAAGCATTAAAAATATGAAGCTAGAGGACATCATTTGATTGACATAAAAATATCATGTTAAGTATAGGCCAAGCCATTACAGCTATATTAGCGAATCAACATATTTTAAGTTTGTCATTAATTGGAGAATGCTACGAATGTTTTCCCAGGATCTCAATTGACTGTGTTAATATGTTGAAATTTTAATACAGAGAAGCACCGGAACTGATTGTGCTTACCAAAAAGGACATTTGCTTCCTATTAATGCTGCCTTCTGATTGTTTTGTTGTTTTGTTTGTTAATTAATTCTATAAACTGGAATGCTGCAATTTTACAAGTTTGGTGCAAGCTACCAAGAAGAGAATTAGACACCCTTACAACTTAAACAATAATTAGATCCGGTGTATACACTGTGGAAGATTTATGTGCCATGACAGGAAGGTGAAGAGTAGGAATAAAAATTAATTAACGCTAACAAAAAAATACTGATAAGACTCTTACTTTTTTCCTATGCTGCAGTACAGGCCTCCCAAGGCACCAACAAGGTCCCAAGCCTTGCAGCCTCAATCTGTGAAGTTCTTGGGTTGGTTCGTTAGCTTTTCTTTTTCAATGTTGAATGTTAGGTGAATGTTATGAGGGGATGTCCCATGTATCATTCAATAGTTGCTACCAAGTAGTGGACTGTTCCATCTAATTAAGGTTTCTTGGTGCAACTGTCAGTTTTAACTGTGGGGCTCTTACTGGTTTTCCATGCAACATCCATCATTCTCTCTCGATTGCTTTCTTTGGAGTTGGGGATGGGCAATGGGATGCAATGAAACAGTTTGGTGATAACATTCCTGCATTTGACAACTTGCAGGTACGTACTTTTCCAGATATAACTTTGTTACATGATTCTCTAAAGTTGTAAGCTTTAGCAGAAACTATGATTGAGCTAAAAATGAAAAGGTTAGACATAACATAATTATGCAACAAGGGTTGTTTGTTTCATTAGTTAGGATGATGTCTACTGTTAGTTAATTATTTGATCATTGCCTGAGAGTTCACTGAACTATGGTTTTGTAACAACAGGGTTGCTAAATTAAAAATCTCACCAAGTGATGTACAACAAAATGATCACTACTAACTTGGTTTTGGTTCATATGAGTCTACCAACTTATGCACCCACTTTAAATAACCCTTTTTCAACTCAGCCGTATCTGCAAAATCAAATCCCAACCAGAGATCCTACCCTTTCATAAATTGGAAAGGGCTGGGAATGATGTGCTGATTAAATAATTTTGGTGACGATGTGAGCCTATATCATATGCTAACTCTAACAAACTAACGGTGTAGTAGATGGAAGGAAACATTTTTTTACAAATCCCTTTGGTTAGTATTTTGTGATGCTTTTTTGTTTACTGGGTTTCATTTGCTCTTGCTTTCCAATACAGAGCCACACAAAGTATTGATTTTCTGGGCAGATTTATGACTTTAAAGTTGATTGGGTTATAGCAGTATTAGTGGTCTCCATTAAAGTTGCTTCTGTACCTTCACTTTTGCTTCTCTTTTGAATTCAGATTCCCTTACGTTTCCCTTTTGTTGCAGCTGCCATATCCTCCTCTTGACGTTTTATGGTTGTAGCAAAGATCAACCTGTAGAATTCCTACTTTGTTAGCAGAGCATGAATTTAGTGTTTCAGCAACATGCTAAATTGGAAGGAATAACGGCCTTAGCTGAAATTTTACTTATAATTTTCACTCAGACCTACAGAGTTTTTGTTTCATTATTGAGTTGTTGGTTGTTGGGAGATTTATATTCTATTCTGTCATATGTTCTGACAGTTAAGCGATTCCTCCTTCCAGTCATATGGTTTAGAGAGACCACATCTACAGTCCTTATTTAGCCACATTTGTTGTCAGTTATGCGTTCGCCATTTGTTCAAAACAATATCATGGACATGGCCTCAGCTATCAGTCAATATTGGAATTGTCTCAATCTGCGCTTTTTTATTTATTTATCGAAATGATTGAATATGGAAAACTGATTTGTTCTGGATCAGTTTCATGATGCGCCAAAGCAATTACGATTTGTTCACCTTTTAATTATCTTTCATGCTTCGCTTAAATTTCGTTCTTTATTTGAAAGGATGATTTGTCTTTCCTACTTATCATTAGGGGTAGAATGATCCGACATTATAGGAATTAGACTGTATATTATGTTTTGTACTGATTTTGTGCTTTTGCATATGTGCGAAGCGTAGCGAGCGGGTCCTTGCTAGTGTGTAGAATTAACGAGAGAAAGACAAGGCAGAGTCACGAGCTGAGCTTTCCAGTAGTAGATGGAATCATAATTGATACAGAGTAGGTGAAAACACTGCCGACAAAACGCACTAGAGCCCCACCTCCACCGCACTAATAATGAGTCCGGACCACTGTTGGTGTTGGAACTTGGATCCATCTCTCTTTCCTTCCAGTTCCAAACCTCATGAGCAAGTCAAATCCCTCCGCAGTTTGGCTGGCGGCTGCAGCAGCGCTCGCCCTCCTCCTTCTCTGCACAGCCAACTTCCTTCCGCGATGTGGAGCTAGCACCATCGATGCTCTGGCTGCCACCCAGTTACTGGCTTCCGCCGCATCTGCCGGCGGCGCCATTGATGACGATGAGTTCCTGATGGAGTCAGGGAGCAGCAGCCAGGCGCTGAGGATGTTGCAGGCGGGAAGCCAGAACGTGTATAACTCCATCACCCGTAACCAGCCGGCTTACAATTGCGGCCAGAATCGGTACTACTGCCTCGACAACGCCCGAGATCGGAAGCTCTATTGTGATCCCAAAAGCCGCGATCCCGCCTGCCACCCTTGAATCTTTGTCTTTTTTTTTCCCCTTACAGTGTTACCTGCGTTTCGTTAATCACTACTACTGTCAATTGATTGTTCCAGCTCTGCTCTGTTCCTCCTCTGTTTTTCGTGGGTTTTATTTTACTTTAATTTTTATGTGTTTTTTGTTCAGTGATTGAACTCCAATCACTCGCACGGATTGATTGATCCAGCTCTCAGCTACTGATTGATGTTGTTGCTATGATTGTTTGAGCCATCATTGGGTGACCCGCTTAACTCTGGGAGGTATGATTCCTTCTGCCTAGCCTCCCTGCAAACTCCATTATGTTCGTCTGTATGTATAGAGAATGTACCACAGATGAGCTCAACACCTCTCTATAAATGCTTAGCATGTTCCCTTGCATATCTAGCTTCCTTGCACCTTCCATTTTGTTTGTCCGTGATTTTTTTTTTTTTTTAGTTGATAAGCAATGTAAAAATGTTGATAATAACAAAGATAACATAATTAGACAACAAAGTCACTGTTTTGGTTCATAATTTTGGCACAAGATCCTCGACACTTACGCGGTTCGGTTTGAGTATATGAGCCAAAATTAGATAATTGAACCGTCAATATGAACGAGATAAATTTGGACAAGAGCCAATACTTCTTGGATTGACTAAATGAAATTTCAACTCAAAGCATATGTCGCTTACATCAACGAATAAAAAATCGTTGACTTAGTACTTATCGTGCTTGGTTGAAAAATTATCCAATAACGTGTCAAATGTCTCGCAAATTATCTTTTATGTTCGTATTAGACCACTAACATTTTCCAAAAGCAAATTAAAGCATCATAAAAGATACAAGACATGAAAATAATTTAAAGATCAATCGATCAATATAAAAATAATTCAAGGGGAAGTTCAAGATTATATCAGAAGATTGATTTACACAATCAAACAAACAAGGTATGTAGAGAGCATTGCAGGATTTTATTTAAAAAGGATTTCAGCACTTTGCATCTCTACTTCTTTGGTAGAGTCCTATAAACCTTCGAAACTATATCAACACTTTGCATCTCTAGTCCGAAACTCTATAAGCTATTTACTATTGTAGTAACTCACTCATTTTCTTGGACGGGTTCGTCAGGTTTCATAGTAAACATTTCAAACTCCTGTTTGAACATGTTAATATATACGAGAAGTTTTGATGTGCGAAATACCTTCATAAGCAGTTTGAAATTTATTTTTATTTTTTAGGTGATTTGCACAGAAACCCTCAATGTTACTCCTCCAACCCCGAGGCACAATACATCATATTGTAGCTTTCACATTATGTTGGAACTCTTTTCCTCTTCTTGCCATTTCCCTGTAACCCCCTTGACTTCAAATGAACAATCCACGACTATATATGTCTCACAAGTGGAGATCGGTTGAGATGGTGAAGAGTTACGGTTCTTCCATTAACTGTAGCTTACACTAATAAACCAAGGAAAATTCATGAGTCGATTACAAAGTGTCACATTTTACCAAAGTCATTTTCAATTTCGTCGGAGATTGTTAAGTAGGCCTCTTCATTCCATCATGTAAGTACCTTATTTATGAGCGCCATCACTTTCGTCACGGTCACCTTAGCTTGTTGAAGTCTTGTTGTCTGAGACAATAGCCATATGCCCCTATCCAGCCCATTTTGCATTGTACTCCAAACGTCTACCATTACCCGACGTGACAAACATCACCATTTACATGGTAAGGTTTACTAGACGCAATAAACTCTGCAGCCATCTCCGTTTCTTAATTATTTACTATCTCTCCATTTGCAAAACAATCTCACCTCACAAGTACCGTCCGAAAATGCGGGGGAAAGGGAATGGACGTACGGTGCAATTGGGCACAATGTTAACTTCAAATTCGATGGACTTAAGGGGTCGTTTGGAAGTTGCGATTGTTAAATAGATGTATTGTTGAGAATGCATGTATAATATTATACATGTATTGTCGAATTTGATGTATTGTAGAATACAACGTTTGGTATGTGTGATTGTGTATGTCGCATCAGCTAAAAACTGAGACAAAACAATCTCAACTCAACTATCTCAACAATCACAACTAAAAGTTGAGATATAACAATCACTCAAAATGAGTGATAGCTTCTGTCACATCACAGAAACAATCCATGTATTGTTTCTGCTAAAAAAAACAAAAAAACGATGCATTGTAAACAATACATGCATAATGACAATCTCAACAAAACTATCGCAACTTCCAAATGACCCTTTAGACTAAACTGGGCAATGACGTTCGTACACTGTAATTAATTGGACCGGTTCGATGGGCTTAATAATGGCCCATTTAACAATGAGGATGGATTCTCTTCCTTCTTTGCATTTTGGACAACTTGAAAGGACGTTCATTTTTTTTTTTTTTTTTTTTACAGAAACCTGTTTGTAATATTAAGTAATCAGAAGGTCCTTCTCCAAGTGAGAAAGGAGAAACATAGGAGGCCTAAGAGCCCAAGATTCCGACGAGTCCCAATTACAGTTTGAGTGGGCCATCTGATGGGCCGGTTCATTCCCTTCTCTCTTTGTAAAACGCCATCGTATCTGGCCCAGGGACTCGGCCCGATCCTTCACCTCCTTCGCAACAACACCAACCTCCATTCTCGAGTCTTCCTCACCCACCATTTTCTGGATAGCGTTCTGGCAGTCGCTTTCCACCACCGCCGGTAGGAATCCATGGCGTTCCACCATCTGCAGCCCAAATTCCATCGCCCGAAGCTCGGCGATTTCAGGCGGCCACTGTCTTCGCTCCCTCCTCACCGCCGCAAGGAGAAATTTGCCGTTTGAGTCGCGGACCACCAGACCCAGTCCTGTCCCCTCCCCCGCCATCACCGCAGCATCGACGTTCATTACTTGCCAAGGTGCACGTCTTCTTTCCATATTTAACATCTGAAGGAGAATATTCATGCATGATTTTTCTCCTTTGCAATTAAGGAAAGTGTATTCAAAAAGATCAACCGTGATTTTCAGTTGTCCAATCACATCAGTTCCAGATCGTTTGTGTATTTTTTTTGTTCAATTTATGTGATGACATTCTTCTAAATAACATATATATACATTAATCTAATAATTAAATTAAAAACACATAAACAAGTGACCAGACCGTGTAAACAAGAATATACACGCTCCGATGATCATAGTATTTGAGTTGGAGAAAAAGGAAGAAGAAAAAAAGAAACTGAAAGGACATGATCTGAAATCATTGAACTGCTCTCCCAAAATAAATTCTAACCTTAATTTCTCACTTCCATTTCACACATAGCCTTTATTGACCCCAAAAAAAAAAAAAAACCATAATACCAAAGGGAACACAGCACGTCAGTCGTATATAAACAAGTCTTTCCTAATCAAACTTTCCCACAAGTCCAATACAAAGTCATCATTTCCCCACAACCACAACCCACCAATCATTTCCATCATCAATGGCTTCCTTTTCTTCTTCTTCTTCTTCCGTCGTTACCTCTTATGTTCTTCTTCTTCTTCTTCTCCCGCTGGTCGCTGCCAGTCTCAGATACCCTGCGGCGGCCACTTCACCAAGGAAAAATAGTAACGGCAACGTTGGAGGAGGAGGGCAAGCCGCGAGGCTAATCCGATCGCTGAATTTGTTCCCTAAGCACGGCTCAAACGTCATCGTACTCAACGACGATGAAAGTGATCAACGGCTCTCATCCATCGACGACCTGCCGGCTGCCGGGATCACGGAGAAGAAATTGAGCTTCAACGTTACCGGCGGCGCCGGCGGCGAGTCGGTTGAGGAGTTGGGTCACTATGCTGGTTACTATTCCCTTCCTCGAACCATAGGCGCCAGGTTTGTATGTGAATGGAAAATTGAATTGATTAGTGATTGATTGAGTCATTTGATGCTCTATTAACCAATCATTTTGATGATGCTAATTAATCTCTGTGTGTGTGGGTGGCGCAGGATGTTCTATTTCTTCTTCGAATCAAGGAGTAGTGTGAACAAGAGCAAGGCCCCAGTTGTGATATGGCTGACTGGTGGGCCTGGTTGCAGCAGTTCACTGGCTTTGTTCTATGAGAATGGGCCGTTTCATATTACTGACTCTTTGGGCCTTCAGTGGAATGACTACGGTTGGGACCAGGTATGTGTACATTTGACCAAATTCTGGAATATTTGCACTCCTATGCATAAGAAAAACATAATTGACCGTAAAGACTTTTGACTTAATTTTATGTGTGAGTGGTCAGGCATCGAATATTTTGTTCGTGGATCAGCCAATAGGGACAGGGTTTAGTTACACAACCTCCGAATCCGACATTCGTCGTAATGAGACTGGTGTTAGCAACGATTTATACGACTTCCTACAGGTTTCTCATTAATTTTTTGCTTAGTTTTTGTACTTAACACGATTTGCTTGTATCTTCATGATTGTTCATGTTTTCCACTTGGAACCAGGAATTCTTCAAGGGTCATCCACAATTTGTTAATAATGACTTCTATGTAACTGGAGAATCGTACGCTGGTCATTATATTCCGGCTCTTGCTTCTCGTATTTATAGAGGAAACAAGAACAATGAGGGAATTCACATCAATCTTAAGGTACATGATTTCTTTTGCTTTCTACATCTTCCATTTGTTAGAATTTGATTATCATGCAATAATCTCCTATTGGTACGAGACTAACATCATTGGATTACAGTCAATCCCTTATTATCTCATTCGACGAATCCAAGTAATTAACGATTTTGTAAATAGCATCACTTTCATCGAACCAACAATCGAGACAACAAGTAGCCTGATCTAATTTTTTTATTTTTGTTCCGCACATGCATATACAATTATACATCCTATCAGCATTTTACCAGAACCCTGATGTTGATCAATGAGGTTTCTAACCTATTGGTCTTTGTTTTCCTCTCTTCCAAAAACAGGGATTCGCTATTGGGAATGGGCTAACTGATCCTGAAATCCAGTACAGAGCATACCCAGAATTTGCTCTGGCTACACAACTCATTACACAGTCTGATCACGACACCTTGGCCCAGCTCGTTCCCACTTGCCAATCTTCCATCAAAGCTTGTGGTACATATCAGTTAGGCCTTCATCACAAAAATTTAGTTTTTTTTTTCTATGTTACTGATCTTGGGTTCAAATAAAACACCGCACAGGTTCAAAGGGTGGAAAAGCATGCACCGATGCCTATTTCAACTGCGAGGACATATTCAATCAGCTTATGAACCTAGTCGGCTCCATCAACGTAAGAACAACCAAGCTAGTTTGTATTGTTAGGTTTAAGGTTGTAATTAGCAAATAATCACCATAGTGAGCCGACAATTCATGTCGGGTGGGTTTTCGACAGTACTATGATGTCAGGAAGCAATGTGAGGGCTCGTTGTGCTACGACTTCTCCAGAGTGGAGCAATTGCTAAGCGACCAATCTGTGAAGGAATCAATTGGGGTGAAAGGCATAGATTTCGTGTCGTGCAGCGACGACATCCATCAGGCCATGATCGGAGACTACATGCTGGACTACGAGCTCGGAATTCCCGAGCTCCTGGAAAATGGGATCAAGGTGCTCATCTATGCCGGAGAATATGACCTCATTTGCAATTGGCTAGGTAAAAACTGCCGACTTTGGATCGTATCTTCACGTGAAGTGACCTCAGTTGTTAGATATATAGACGTGATCATAACTTTTGCTTATGTTGACATTAATGGTGGAAGTTAATCTATGTGGTGTGGCTTGCAGGGAATTGGAATTGGGTACACGCAATGAAATGGTCAGGACAAGAACAATTCGATGGAGCTTCCACGGTGGCTTTTATGGTGGGAAGCGCAAAGGCAGGGGAGCTGAAAGGGTATGGGCCTCTCCATTTCTTGAAGGTTTACAATGCGGGCCACATGGTGCCAATGGACCAGCCCAAGGTGGCCCTGGAGATGCTGCAGAGTTGGATGCAAGGCCGACTTGGTGCTGTTTAGTTAATTAAAAAAATGTCAAATCAATATCCATTCAGTTGAATATTCTTTTCTGATAAAAGGGTTTAGTAATGACTAGTAAAAATGTGGTGACAATTCTATTTATGCACAATGGTATGGAGGTGAGTTGTGGATAACTTAAGAAATTTTCAAAATGGCCACTGCGTTTTTTATTTGTAAATGATAATACGGTTCTGATGATTTGTAACGAAATGGTCATTTTGTCATTCGTAATCTAAAATTACATCTAGTAATTTGACCCCGTCAAATTTGGCAAAAACCAACAAAGTCAACAGCCTAATTAAGCACTCAGATAATCAATTCACTAGCTAGACTCATCATAGCGAACCAATGGTAGGCATGAAAAAGAAATCCAGATCCAATAAGCAATCCATCATGTGGGTTTTCAATTAGAACTGGGTATCGGTCGTCTGTGACTGTGATGAGTTTAGAATTCAGTACTACAAAGGAATTTTGAGTGATGGGGGTAGAATTCAAAAATCACAGCAACCTATGGAATGTGCTCGCGTTTTGGATGTGGGGATGATGAGTTGATAATAGCCTATTGTCTTATCACTTTTCAATATATAATTACCATATAACCGATACTTCATAGCCTAAAATCAAATGCAGAGTGTTTAGATGAGTTTTGATAAAAACAAATTTATGGTTTGGATGATTTGAAAGATTGATCACATTACCAGCTAGACAAAAAAAAATTTATGGAATAGCTAGACAAAATTTCAGATGGAAATTGACAAGAATAATCATTTAGTAAAAAATATTTTAAAGATATGGTACTGTTTTAGTGGAAATAAAAGCTGTGTGACCATTTTGTATAAGAGTCAAAGTTAAATGATCATTTTGGACATGTCTCAACGTTTATCGTAATTATGTAAAAAGGAAATACATTATCATTTTTCCAATTAAATAAAATGCTAAATTTCATGAGGAAAGTTTTTTTTTTTTTTTGGTGAAATTTCATGAGGAAAGTTAAGCATTAGGTAAGAAATTAAAACAAATAAATAAAACCCGCAAGGCAAGAGATTGAATTAAATAAACCTTACATTAGGTAAGAACGATAGATAAGTTCATTTAAGCATATATACTCTGTCCATGTTCATGCGACTAATTACAATCTTCCCAATTAATTAGATATGAATACCATAAACAAAAATGGACGAAAATATGAAAAATTAACAATACTTCCACAAATAACGTCGACGTAGTAGCTTCCATGAATATATAATTTCTTTATAATTTCATTACCAATTCCATGAATATATATTTTCTGATAATTTTATTTCCAATTATTTCCTCGATAAAGGGCTATAAATACCAAACCTTCCAGCACAACTTTTACCCACAGCCAAATCCTAATCTCAAAGTTCTTCGAGTTTTATTAGTTCCAATTACTGTAGTCATTGCCAAAACCACCATGGCTAGTTTGTTTAGTCTTTTGTTATGTTCTATAATGGCTTTGGTCGGAAGTTCATTCCTCCTTTCCGTCGCCGACGGGAAGCTGGTCAGGACGATGGACAATGATTGGTCATCATGGCAGGATGCCCATGCAACGTTCTACGGCGACAAAAGCGGCAAGGACACAATGCGTAAGTTTTTCTACGTCAATCCTTCGATTTTTGTTTTTTTACTGAATATTAGCACACTAATTCGACATAAAATTTTAAGTGGCGGGGAGCCGCGGACGATTCAGATTTACAGTGTTGCTCGAATCACAAAATAAATTTTCTAGTAACGGTATAGATTGTTCGGACAGAATGAGGGGTGTAGAATTTTTCATTTATTTTGTACATTGATAATTTCTGTCCTTAATTATATCATTGACAAAAAAAATGGAGATAAAAGCATTTTGTTTTGGTTATTGACGAATGATAAAGTTTGTTTTTGTTTTCACATACGTACACATAAACAGAAGGCGCGTGCGGTTATGGCGATCTATTCAAGCAAGGCTACGGCCTCCAAACGGCGGCGCTAAGCACGGCGCTCTTCAACAACGGCCTCACCTGCGGCGCGTGCTTCGAGCTCAAATGCGTCGACGACCCAAACTGGAAGTTCTGCTACCCGGGCGTCGCCCCGATCCAAATCACGGCGACCAACTTCTGCCCGCCGAACCCCGCCGGCGGCGCGTGCAACCCGCCGATGAAGCACTTCGACCTGTCGATGCCCATGTTCCTGAAGATGGCCCCTTACAAGGCCGGGATCGTGCACGTGCAGTACCGCAGGGTCACGTGCGTGAAGCAAGGCGGGGTGAAGTTCGAGATCAAGGGCAACCCCAACTGGATCCTGGTGCTGCCGTACAACGTCGGCGGCGCCGGCGACGTGAAGAACGTGAGGGTGCAAGGGTCCGGGGATTGGATTCAGATGCAGAGGAATTGGGGACAGAACTGGCAGACGAATGTGGAGTTGGTGGGTCAGTCGTTGAGTTTTCAGGTGGTGACGAGCGACGGCGCCTACAGGGTGTTTCGCAATGTTGTGCCGGCGAATTGGCAGTTTGGGCAGACATTTGATAGCAACATCAACTTCTGATGAGGCAGGCTGCAGGTAGAATTGGGGCAAACGTTCATTCCTAGGTTTTAGTTTGTTCTTTCTTCTAGTTATAGATAGTGAATTGTTGTAGTTTGTGAAGTTGTGGATTATATGAGTGATGGACTGTAATTTGAAGGAATGAGAGAAAGTGCTGAAAAGGTCGCAACCAAAACAATACCTTCAAAATCTTTATCTATTCGAAATGAAAAGTGAAGAGGAGAAAACGCCGAAATAATTTCAACGAAAATTTCTAAAAATTGTTGAGCTACTAACACAGTTTCAATGAGAAGAATTTGCCATGGTTGGCCAGTTTCACCATCACTTGAACATCCATCTCTTCATATCATTGAGCTAATACATTTATAAAGCAGGAGAATTAGAGTGAATTGCAAAAAATGTGGTGATTTTGTAATTATCATAGTGACTCATTTTAACGTTACGAAAGCTTATATATTGAAGGGAGAGTATGAAAAAAAAAAAGAGCTTACATTGAAGGTAGGGTATGAAGGACAACTCATGTTTGGATTCTAGATTAGTATGAGATGTTGATTACCACCTAGATATCATTTCATTTTATTGATTGTTTCTTCTTGAAAGCTCTCTCTGGCACAATAAGAGTGCATCATTCAAAATTGTGCCCTTCAATTTATCTTGAAGGCATGCAGAGAATGATGATGTACAAAAGAGATGTAACTTGAAAAATCCTTAAAATTACCAATTCGAATTATGAGAGAAGCTCCTTTGTTAAGGATATGTCACATTCACGAGATCATCTTCATTTGGTACAATTATTGAGCCAAAGCACCTCGAAAAGTATAGATTCAAGTGAATGACACAATTAAATGAAATTAGATATGCACGAGTCCACTATCATGCGCCCGTATCTTTAAGTAACGGACGACATTACAACGATACCCTCTTCCCCTTAGTCCTTAGTGAGTGTTGGAAAGATGGAAAGTGAAAAGTGAAGATAGTTCAAACTGTATGTAGTGATTTGTAATTATACAAAACAAATTGAGTATTTATCATTATGCTAACCTCTGTGTGTAATGTAATCAGTGTTCGCTGAATTCCAAACCTCTCCATTTTCATTTTCAGGTCCGCTGATCTCTAATTGCGAACAAGATCTCTCTCTCTCTCTCTCTGCGAATTCAACGCTGCAGCAACTCTCAAAAGTCACAGCTGTTCTTCGCCGATGAACAACCAGGTAAACCCTTTCTTTCAGAAGAACTCCCAATCGCCCCCTTCGTCGAGCAATTCTTTCCTTCTGCGTTGTCTTTCCTCTGGTTATCACTATCAGTTTCCGAACAAGAGTCCTCTACTCGCTAGATCACGGCTTACTCTTTATGCTTTCCCTCCATTTCTAATCGTTCTGTTCATTTTATGAATTTTTTTTCGACAATTCCCTAGGCTGCTGATTTGTGAATTGGGATTTCGCCATGTGTCTTCGATTCAATGATCCGGCCGTGATTCAATTATCGTGCTATGAGTTTTCGTTGCTGAAGGGGTCCTTGAAATTCCGGGACCGTGGCGTCATTTCGTTTGATGTCTTTGGCTAGCCCTAAGTTTTGAGATTTTTAGATACTTGGTGTTTCTTAGTTCTTAGTGTGGTGGTAAGAGAAAGTTCGTGGTGTTTTAGATGCTCTCTTGCAGCTATTAAGATGAAATTTAATGGTTGAGATATAAGTGATGAATGCAAAGTTTGAATCTTGTACAGTTGTACCTGTCTGGCCTTGTTCTGCTGCTGGGTTTTCGTTTCGAAACTAGCTTCTGCAAGGTCCTTCATGATCAAACTGAGGAAGAAATGGCTGAAGGGTTTTTTGCTGATGATTGAGATTGATTTGGTAGCTAAGTTGCTATGCTTAATGATAAGAAATGTATGTTGCTTTTCTTACTCAAAGTTGAATTGATTTATTGGTGTGGCATCCATGATGGATATCTTCACTCCCAGTCGGTTAAATTCTGAAATCCTTGGCTTCTCCATGTATAGTTTGAGCTATTGAACTGAGCAGGCCATGTGTTTTTGTTTCTTAAAACTCTCTCTCCCTTCCAGTTTTGGAGCTTATATTCTATCAAGCATGTTTTGCTGTCTGTTACTTCTCCTGAGTTTCAGTTTTGCAAGAAGTTGATAGGAATATTTTTACTCGTTGATTCATTCCAGCTGGTGGTTGACATGCAGATATTTCTTCTCAATTCAACATTGTAGCTGACAGACAATGCCAAATGATGAAGTTCTGAAAACTGTTTTCCCTCTATTGAATGGCATAGACCTTGCTTCTTGTATGGCCGTAAGCAAACAATGGAGAGATATTGCCCGGGATGATTATTTCTGGAAATGCCAGTGTGCAAAGAGATGGCCATCGATTTGCAAAAGACCCAACCTTTCAACTACGTCCTACTACAGGCTATATCAGAGCTTCTACAAAAGGCAGAATCATCAGATCTTGCTTCCGCCAAAACTTTCCTTTGATACTTTGGAATTTTATATCGATATATGGGCTGGAGACAAGTTAATTTACTCGGGCATAGTGCAGGGCTCTGTTTTCGAGGATGGAATCAAACTCCCGCCCCATAGAATCTCCAGCGTCCTTAGATATCACCTGCAGGCTACAGAGTACAAGATGATGCTGGCGGTTGAGCCGACCTTCAAACTGCCATTGAGTCAGCCTGTTAGTGTTTCAGTGCTCGTGGGGCGCAAGGACTCCAATAAGATTGCACGCATCATTCACAAAGCTATGTTTGATTATATTGATAGGTCTTCTTATAGAGCAATGGCATTCGACGCCATTGACATTTCCCCCATGTATCGTTTCTTACCAAACATCCGGGGATGGATCTCGCTGCTTTTCATGGAAGGTGGAGATGAGTGTGAAATTGATGTTTTTGGCATTCAGATGGATTTCAATGATGTTGCCAACTCTAAGGACGAGGTATTGTGGCTATTGGACATGCTTGATTGGAAATGAGCGGGACTGCAGAAACAAGAATCCTTCCAACATATGCCATGTTCGTACTCTGGATCTTAATTCTAATTTCACCAATGTGTCGGTAGTGTACATTGGAGATTTAGTCATGACTGTGGAATCATCTGCATAGATTTATTTGCAGGTCATATGATTGTAAATACCCTGTCTATTTGATTACACGCATTTTAGGGGTATCTTAGGATTAGCCAGCAACCATTGTGCAGAACTGAATAAAGAAGAAGCTAAAATGATTTGGAAGATCTGTACTCTTATTCTGGTTTTCTTATATACTCCTTGAAGGAAGTTGAAGTGGAGTTCTTTTCTTTTCTGCCCTGTTCTATTATTCCCAAGCATTTGTGTTGTGTATATTTGCCGTCTGTCCGAATACCTTCAACCAGCTATCATTATTGTATTCGCTATCATCATTGAGAGTCAAATTTACCACACAGATGACAGAAGTATGAAATGACACATAAAAGTCGATTCTTTCATTTCCATCAAGTTGCTCATCAGCAGTTCAAGTTTCTTCAGAATTTCTCCAATACTCGTTACGTTAATTCCAGTAAAGGCGGAGTTAGATTTCTAATGTGACTCGAGTACTGGCTGTGGCTGATAAGAGTTTAGTTTATGAAAACAGTAAAATGGAAAACAATGGTTGAACTTGAACTCATTCCTCGGCTGCGTCTTTCAGTCGCTACAAAAATAGCAAACTCTTCACCAAATTCACAGTGGTGCACCCAAATGGTGAAAAGATCCTTAAGACAACATAGAGTTTCTTATGAATTTTGTTATAGAACAAATTTAAGTGACTTTTTTGTTAGTATCCCGTAAGTATGTGATCGTTACGTAATTAACCCGCTTTCGGACTCTGTTTCACTTGCTGGCTCGCCATCTCTCTCTCTGATTCTGGCAGCAGTGGTGGGCTGCTGGCAAAGCAAGAAAGCGAAAGCATGGCTTCCTATTTGCTTCTCTGGATGCTCTTTTGCTTCCTCAACTTAGGCCTCCTCGCTATCGTCTTCCACGCGGTACTCACTCTGTTCCTGCTTTTTCCATTCCACAACTTCCGCTTCTGGTTTTCCTTTCCCTTTTGTACTTGCACTACTTCGATGGTTGCCGGAGAAAAAGTTCAGAACAAAAATGAAGGGTAGCTGAGATTTCCGAGCTTCCGTGGCAGCTATTTTATAAAACACTTGCTGGAATTTAGGCTTGCTAGTTTGAACAATGACACTGAGTTGAGTTTCTAGATCCATAAATCGAATTTGAATCCTAAAGTTCATTGCTTTTCTCCGTCTGAAATCTAGGGTAAACCTTTTTGTAGCTGTTGGCCTTGACAGACATGGAAGCAGACCAACTTGACCCATTTGAAGCAACAGCTCGAGTCAATAAGTTCGTGTTGCCTGAGTTCATTCTACAATGGATCTTATGCTTTCTCTTCCTCATCACGGGTCACTGGGTCATGGTTCTCATTTCACTCCCCATTGCCTGCTTTCATTTGACGATGTAAGTACCGATCTAGCTATCTACATTGGGTGTCTGGTTGTTGTGTGTACTTTGTTGCTTTCGGGGTTATGAATCGATGTCTAGGGACTGAAACTCTTGAGCCATCCATAGAGAAGAATCATCTGATCCGGGTACTAGTTTCTGCTGTGTGGTCTAATTGTTTTTCTCTTGAATTGTGTGGATGTAGCTACTTGAAAGGGAAGCATCTAATTGATGTCACTGAAGTGTTCCGGAGTCTTGATCGTGAGAAGAAGCATAGGGTGATCAAGCTAGGTATCTACTTGGTCTTCCTATGCATTACCATCTTCAGGTTAGACCTTCACTGCTGCTAAGTTAAATCATTGGTTTCTGGCATAGCGGTTTTTCAGTGACCATTTGTGTTAGTTTATGGTCCTTCGTTCATCACGGCTAGTGGTGCTGATGAGAAATCAAACATTTACAGGGTGGCTCTGGTCAAGTTTGATACTCTGAGAAATGCAGCAGCCGATCCCGTGTATTTCAGGTGATCAATGGTAGCTGGTTGATGACAGTGCTTATGAGAGAGATGCTGTTGGTACATATTTCTGGTACTGCAGCTGCCCACCTCACTGTTGTTAGATAGAGGAACTCGTTAACTATGTTTGTGTGGCTTATTTATTTGAGAAGATATGGAAGTGTTGGCCATGAAATGGACAAGCTTTTGTTAGAATGTTGTACTTAAGCTTAGTTCTAATCTTACGTGTGAAAGCTCTGAACTTCCTGATATAAGTTGATTGGTATTTATACACAAAGAAGTTTATTATGATAAGTGCTAGGGATTCGTGATTATGCTAATGGCCTTCAACTTGGAAAGGAGAAGAAGTTGTTGAAGCAAAACAGGTATGATAAGAACACCAGCACCTTGATCCTTAATGGCCATGAGACGAACTATGAGTTGCAAAAGAAGATTGGATTTGCTATGAGATGCATGGCACCGAGATTAAACAAAACAAAGCCCTCAACAATTTAATTATAATAATCTCTCATCAATTGGCCAAAAGGAATGATAAGAGGAAAATGATATCACCCTGTAAGATGCCATAGTGCGTTTTCAACCAAAATTAACTGAATCTCGAAGCAAAGAACAGAGCGCATCTTTCACATATATCATGGGACATCGAATAATATGTATAATTCTTAAAAAAAAAAGAATAATATGTAAAAGACTCAAAAGTTAGTATATTTTCCGTCATTGTTTCCAATTATTGGGTAAATTCCCAAAATATTGTTTTTTTTTTTATTTACCACCAATGTGGTTTTGAATATATTTACACGAAGATTGTGTTATTGTGGGGGAAGAAGTGTGGGCTCGCGCGAGACTCAAATTCAAACGTTAAAAATGTTGATCCAAACAGGACATCAGCGGACCCGCGTCAGACTCATGCGAATGCGCGAAAATAAAAAACCCACGTCAGTCTTGTGCAAGAACACACCCTCCCTCTTTCTTATCTCTTTATCTTCTTCTCCCAATCTCCCGCAGCGACGCACGCCTCACCACAAAAACCCCCCAGACCCAAAAACCCCACCCACCATCGTGACACAGCGCCGACCACTCCTCCTCTCACCCAGTCTGACGCGGGTCCACCCCGCTTTCCCGCGGAACCGCCTTCGCCAACACGGAAACAGGCGAGTCTCAAGCGGAAGCGCCGGAGGAAGAGGCCGGCGAAGAAAACCAGATCTGGTTTGTTTGGGAGTTTTTGATGTCTGACTCCGACAAAGATCAGGCAACCACCGGAGGAAGAGGTCGTGGAAGAGGACAGCAGGCATCCCCATTTCAATCTTAACACCAAATTCATTAAACCTCAGAGCAACATCCCCATTCCTGTATTTTTCATATGCAACCTGACATCATGATGGAGTTCAATGATGGTGTTTTTTTTTTAATATTGGGATAAATTTGGTTGTAAATGTGTTCTCGATGACAAGGTTGGAAGATACTAGATGGTTATGTTTTGTCATTTCTACTTAATTTAGGGGTAGCTTGGGTCATAGTTTAGGAGAGAAAACCCTATACTAGATTTTTATTTCTGAAAACCCTAATTTTTATTTTTATTTTCTTTGATTACAGTTAGGGTTGTATGTGAAAATTTAAATCCTCTATCACTTGGGTCATAGTTTAGGAGAAGAGTTGGGCAGAGTAGAGGAGCAATATATAGAGCAACAAAGGAAAAGGTTGTTGTTGCCAGAATGGTGAACTGCGATGTCCGGCGACGGCGGAGGAGTGGGGGAGTAGTAGGCTAGCCGTAGATATTCATCGGACCCTTGCGCGACGTTGGAGGACAACTTTTTGCCGGAGTTGTCGATGATAAAAATGGACAGTGGTGAAGGTATACGAAGAGTTGGAGACAATAAATATTGAAAGGATGAGATTCCTAAAAACAAAGAAATTAAATTATTAGTTCATTTTCTATGTTTAAAATAATTATTTTATAAGTTAAAAAGAGGGATAATATAGTCATTTTGTTTGTCATTTAACGGCCAATTGACGAGAATATTGACAGAAGGATATGTTTGTTACGTTGCAATAGTAAAAGGGCACGAAAGTGTAAAAAAATAATAGAAGGATATAAATATAATTGTTAACTTACAATAGTAGAGAGGCATAAAATGCTATTAATGAAAGTTAAAAACATAAATAAAAATCTATTGCAAAAAAGAAAAACAGAAATAGGGGTGGAAGTGCTATAATATTCACGTTTGGTCACTAAAAGAATTTTATTCCATTCTCGGTCACTGAAAGTGGTTAACATTTCACGATTAGTCACTCTCTGTTAGTCTCCACTAATACCGTTAGTGATTTGCTGACGTGGCAACCAAAAATGCTGATTCGTCCAATTTTGACCCGCCACATCATCAAACTCGACCCGCCACCTCAATTTAACCCTCAATGTCAGATTCCCCAACCCAACCCATGACCCGACCCTTCTTATTAACCCATTTTACCTCAAACTCAATTGGCCCAAATGAAAACCACATTCCGACCCAACCTCTGGTCCCTTCTTCTCCACCGCCATCAACCTCTAATCCCCCCATCGCCATCAATCATCGCAACAGGATTCAACAATACTAGCGCCAACCCCATCTCTAGCAGGCCTTCAAAAACAGCATTGAATGATGAGTTTTGCAGCAATGAAGATCTATATTCCTAGATCTAGAAACCCCGTCGACGGCGACCAAAAGGACATGGAAGAAGGAGCTTCAATCTTTCAAATCCAAATCCCAACCGAGAGGAGCGTTCAGTTTTGATCGCTGCATTCCAAACCACCTCCTAGATATGTGAAGAAGTCAGACATGGTCTTTTCTTCTCGAGAAACGGCGGCGGCAGAGAGGCGAAGTAACATTACAGCTCCTGCTTCTTCCTAGAGATTGATTGCATCGACGAAGAAGTCGGGGTCAACAACAGAATCCTCTGCTTGGTGGGGTTTATGACAAGACAGGTTAAGATTGGATGAATCAGCATTTCTGGTTGCCACATCAGCAAACCACTAACGGTGTTAGTGGAGACTAACGGAGAGTGACCAATCGTGAAATATTAATTACTTTCAGTGATTACGATTGGAATAAAATTCTTTTAGTGACCAAACATGAATATTTTAGCACTTTCAATAACCAAACGTGCAATTTACCCACAGAAATATGAAAGCGTAGTGAGTAGTGACTAACTAGCGAAGACACAAGCACAACTCCAGTCTCCACAAGGCAGGCAGTCAACAGTAGGGTTATTCTCGTGAATTTCTCCAGGACAATTTCCCATTTTACTTTCCCCGCCATTTGTTTCCCCTTTCCCTTTACTCCCCCAAAATTTCTTCCTCCGAATTTTAGGGCTCCGAACCCTCTTTAGCCCGCTCTGCAACTTCATAAGTCAGAATCTGTCCTTCCTCAACTTGCTCTCTTAATGCCCTCCCCCTTCGAACTGGAATTCCTCCGGTTAGTCCAGCTATGAGCAATCCGGCTGCTAACCCCGGCGGTTCTTCTTCGGGCTTCGGCTCCCAAGGCGTTGGCCTCTCCAACACTATACACTCGGAAGTTGCGCCATACTTGCCCTTACCATCGCTCCCGGTGTTCTGCGGCGCTTATGATCCGGAACTCCGGCTGTTCGACGACCGCGGCGGTGGAGACCTTTGGTACTTGAATCGAAATGAAATTGTGGCTCAGTCTGCTAGAATTGCCAGTATGCTTGGCGATACCGATGTTTCCTACCTGTAAGTGTTTTCTGTTGCTTATTCGAGCACAGGCTTAGTCGCCATTGCTTCTGAGCATGTAATAAGTTTAGTAAGCGAGGGAGTCAGAGTTAGTGATAATTCTAGTTCCTGCTAGTTGAATTTAGGTCTACTACTCGGTAGAAGTGCATTTCCCTGCTAGGGAGCGTAGTTAAGTTTGATTGCGTCTATTTGTAACATTGCTTCAAATCTTTGGTGGAGTCAAGTGGATTGACTTGAGAAATAGACTGTAAGGTTAGTGTGAGTCTTTGTGGCAATGCAGTAGTTATTGTGTCGTTTGAATGTGATGCAGTATTGTGATTAAGCTTTTGAGGCAACAAGTAGGAAACAAATATTTTTTTATTGTTGGTACCGAAAAAAAAAGCAATGCAGATGCTCAAACTATTGGGTAAGAGTTTGAAAAGTGCATTTTACATGCAGTTGAATAACTCGGAGAAGGTACATACAAACAGAATCACCAATTGAATAGGAAGTGCCACGCGGCGTTGCATCTTTATAACTCGCACTTAAAGTGAGAATCGTGGGATATTCGTGTATCAAGAGTTAAATATGTCATAAATATATCAGAAACTGTATTCAGATGCCGTTTTGGCTAAGAACACAGTTGTACCTGAGCTGCATTGTTTCCCAAGTCACATTTAGTGGCAACCAAACCATGTTCAGGGAGCTTCAGTTGTTCTTCCTTCATCTGAAGTGAGCATCTGATGTTGGGATAGGATTGACTGTGTGACCTAATTTTGGAAAGTTTAATTTGGAGGACGGCTTTGACGTTTGGGCGTTTGTAATTTTGTGTTGCAACCTAGTCATTGGCTCTTGTTTGTGTTGCTGTTGAGATTGAATGCGATTGACCTTCCCTTTAAATCCATTATCCTGATAAACGTAGTTGATAAAGTTCTGGCTTGTGTTGAAGAACTTGAGTTGTCTACATCTGTCATTTTTGTTGTACTACTTTGACGCTATTTATCCCTTTTTATTCAATCTCAGCCACCTTAGGAATGATGTGAGGCCGATGAGTTTGGATAATGTGGTACCTTTGGAACTTCATGACCAGATTCTACGGCGCAATCCTGAAGCATATGAGCATCCCACTCATGGTAAACAAAGATTGTAGCTTCCCTCTTTCAAGTATTTTTGCATGTAAATAAGCTTCGTTCCTATGTTGAGGCACATGTTTCCAATAGTTGAGCAATTGTAATCTGTTTTCAAATCTAGTGGGCAGGGAGAATTCAAATAGAATGTTCTGTGGATTCGTCATAATGGGATTTTTCAGGCTGTGTCATTTCCCTGAAATTAGAATAGGAGAAATCAATAGGAAGACTGCTTTGGCATCTTTAATTGGATGCAGAAACTTGGTATATGGTCAAGTGATATTCTTAGGCTAAATTGGCTCACCCTTGCTTAACATAACTATGCTTTGTATGAAACACTTAGTTTTGTTCTCGTTGTGGTGTATTGCATTTGTTCAAGTTTCTCAAGTAAGGAGCAAATTTCTGGAAATGCAGCCTTGGAAAACAAGCCTGTTCATGTTGAGCCTAGCAACCTTGTTCCGCCTAAAGTGCAAAATGGCAATGATCAGCAAAGCCGCCAGAGTAGCTCTACGCCTAATGTAGGTATCTGAGATGAGTTTATATTAAGCATTTGCTGCTATGGTCATTCTTATGCAAAGGAATATTGCAGGATACTGATTCATCTATGAGAAAACCAAAAGGTAAGAGGAAAGGCAGTGTGGCACCAGTGTCAGTAGAAGTGAGTGACCCTTCTGAGCTTGAACCAAGTGACCCTTCTGAACTACAGGGTAGGCATTATAATAAGATTTTGGTCTTTCGCACATGTTATATTTGACAGTAAGGTATTCATAAAAAAATAAAAATTCCACACTAATACTCATTGGCCTGTCCTTGTTCAGATGCTACTATTAGGAACTTCTGTGATATACTGGAGGAATTCTGTGGCAAAGCTGAAGTTGCAAATGATGAACGGGATGAAGTGGATTGGTTGGCGTTACCTGCTAGTGATATTAGATTCCTTGTTAATGAAATCATGTTACTTCGTGGAAAGAAACTTCTACATTTGGTCCCACTTGAGGCCCTTGTAAGATTGTTACAGATTCTAGACCATCAGATACATCGAGCAGAAGGCATATCAATAGACCAATTGGACCATGTAAGTTTCCTCAACTACTTCTGATTAATACAGTGTTTGTTTGCTCTAATTCCGGTCCAAAATGTTGGGTTGGTTTGGGATCTTGATCACCTGGAATCAAAAGGCATTAAAACAAATATCTGTTATAATTTGCCAGTTGGGAGAGAACTGGTGGGTCATTGGGCAGATCCGATGCCTAGGCCAAATTGCTGAAATGTTATGGATATCTAGTTTTGATTGGTACCCGAGAAAGGTCCTCCAATCCCTAATCCACCCTCCATATCTCCCTTGAGTGACGTGTCTTCGAGTCATATCTTCCACAGCCTTCTCTTGTAGACATGTGTCTTTCTTAACATATCTGAGTGGAAAGATGAATTACTTTTTAAAATGCATTTTTATTTTTCTGTTATTGGCATTGTATTACGCTTAGTATTTTGTTTTATAGTTTTTATATATTATCACTTTCCAATTTAGTGGCGATTGTTAAATTCGCAATACCTTATGTTTTAGCCGTATCTTATATCAAAATATAAACTACAAATAAAAGAAACACAGAAAAATACACAATAAGGATGAACATGTGATCGCACATAAAACTAGCTTTTTATTTCTTTTTTGTGGAAAATATTTCTTAATTGATAGATTAGGTATTTTTCATGTATTTCCTGGAAACTGTGTAACCTGCAATGAACCAAAACCCCACCTGAAGTTTTAGTTTTGGGGCCAATTTGATGGTGGTGACCTATCAACCAAATTATGTAATCTGAATTGACTCGTGCTTGTGGTTACTTGACCAAATTATTTAATCCAACCCATTTGCTCTCTCTAGGAATATTATTAGTTGTTAACTTCCTTGAGAAGTTTCAAGTTATTCTTCCAATTAATTTTTACTATATTTCTTCAACATGGTCATTGCATGGTTCGTGCTCTCCTTTTGGATTTGGGACTCTTTGTGAATCAGATTGCTAGAGGAGACATTTTCTTCAACTAAAATGAAGTCTTGTTGATTTAGTTTCTTATATGCTCACCGCTATGTTCTCACAGGCTGGTATGCTTAATGTGTGATTGTGCCTTTTTAACTGAAGATTATTTGCGCTACGTTTCATGATGTTGTTCTTGTTACTTTATTTTCCCTACCTTTTGTTTTCATGAAAAGTGTGTTTCGCTTCAACTGTTGCAGTCGGGCTCAGATGCAGTCTCTTACGTCTTTTCTGCGTTGGAGTCTATCCATGCAGCTCTAGCTGTAATGGCTCACAATAGCATGCCAAAACAGCTCTACAAAGAAGAGGTGCATTTTCTTTTTGGCTTCAATTTTCAGATCCCATTGAAACTGAATGTCCTGTAATTTTGTTTCCTGTGCTATTTTTCCTTCACGTTCACGCTCTTTTCTACTCAAGTTTTTGGGCTATTTAGATCTATTGATGGGTTGAGGTTTTTTCTTGCCAGCTCATTGAAAGGATTCTGGAGTTCTCTAAGCATCAGATATTGGGTATTTTGTCAGCTTATGATCCAGCATTTCGGGCTTTGCACAAGCCAAACGAACCCGAAGCATATGAAGGTGGGCCGTTGATATTGGATGGGGATGGCTTTCCTTGGTTTTCTTCCTTTGGACCATTTATCAATATATATATACTTGGCAGGCTGTGGTAACTCAAACCTTAAAAGGACTCATGTATAATGATAGATGGTGTTCTATAGTACCCTATTATGTCCTTTCTTCTTTATCTTTATTAATTAATATGTATCTATAAATCCTGAACAATTTTACTGATTACAGACGTATGTTTATTCTGAATATGTAGTAATTGGATTTCCTTCTTTTTGCTAATCAGGTGATGAGAATGAAGACCCTGAGGCTGATTACTGTCGATCAGGCAAGAGAAGGCGTGTTCAGAAGAGTGTGAAACTAAAGAAATCAGCTTACAATAAGTGTGTTCTTTGTTTGTCAATCTGCTTTGAAATTGTCATTCAATTTCCCCCCCATTTCGCAGCAACGTTCTTCTAATAATTTGCTCTTTCTTTGCCCTCTTTTATAGGGTCAACAGTGCCATGAATACAATTCTACAGAAACTTTGCACTATTATTGGTTTATTGAAGGATCTGTTGTCGATAGAGAGGTTATCAGATAGTTGCATTTTACAATTAGTGAAGACCAGCTTTACAACACTTGTGGTTGACAATGTTCAACTCCTGCAGCTGAAGGCAATGAGCCTACTTTGTGGGGTAGAGATCTGTATACTGTTGTTGAGAGCTTGTGCATTTTAATTTTTACCCAAGTACATGTACTTATGCACTCATACAATGTCTAGATCACATTGTTATGGTAGATGATTTAGTAAGTCTCATTTGACTTCTTCTATCTTAATGCAGATATTCTTGTCATACACACAACATCGATCCTATATTGTTGATGAGTTGGTTCAGCTGCTCTGGAAGCTACCTGTCTCAAAGCGAGCCCTCCGATCCTATCACTTGCCTGATGAAGATCAAAAGCAGATTCAGATGGTCACTGCTTTGCTAATTCAATTGGTACACAGTAGTGCAAACCTTCCTGAAGCTTTAAGGCACGCGACGACTGGTCATTCCATCCTGGAAGTCTCTTTGGATGCTACTTACATCTCTAAATGCCATGAAGCTATAACGGAAACATGCTGTCTTTTCTGGACTCGTGTACTTCAGCGATTTACGGCTGTGAAAGCTCAGGATTCTGCTGAACTGAAGCTTCTCATGGAAAACCTTGTTACAGACTTACTGACCACTCTGAACTTACCTGAGTACCCTGCTTCAGCTCTCATTCTGGAGGTGAGATATAGAGATATGTTGCATTTACATGGATCATGATAACTTTTCTTCTACTAAAGATTGTGAATTGCAGGTACTCTGTGTCTTATTACTGCAAAATGCTGGTCTAAAATCCAAGGATGTTTCTGCGCGATCTATGGCAATTGATCTTCTTGGCATGATTGCCACAAGTTTGAAGCATGATTCTGTCAGTTGCCGCCAGGAGAAATTTTGGATCTTACAAGCATTAGACAGTGAAGATGACGTGGGTTGTAGTTTCCCAAAAGATGCATGCTGTGTTTGCTTAGATAGAAGAGTTGGGAAAGCACTGTTCATGTGTCAAGGTTGCAACAGATTGTTTCATTCTGATTGCACAGGTGGCAGAGAATGTGAAGCCAATCAGAATTGGCATTGTCAGATTTGTCTGTGCAAGAAGCAGCTTATGGTGTTACAGTCATTCTGTAACATGCAGTGCAAAGATAATGGGAGAGCAAACAGATATGGATCTGCTAAAAGTTTCGAAACTGCTAATATGGTCACAAAAATTGAAATTATTCAACAGACGCTTTTAAACTTCCTCCAAGATTCTGTTTCTGCTGATGATATGCATCAGTTCATCGGCTGGTTTGTACTTGAATAGTCCTTCATCTCTTTCCCAGACAATTTGTATATATTATCAGTTTAAAAAGACAATCCATGTGCAGGTTCTATATGTGCCTTTGGTACAAGGATGATTCAAAATCTGAGCAGAGGTTGACTTATGACATCACGAGGCTAAAATCAAATCTTGTTGTGCGTGATTCTGGTACTAGCCATTCCATGCTAACGAGGGACTCGATGAAGAAGATTACGTTAGCACTGGGACAAAATAGTTCTTTTGCTCGAGGGTTTGACAAAATTCTTCATATGCTTCTGGTGGGTGAGATTGTACTTTAGCTGTTCTCATCATTGAGTAGACTTTAGTCTTACATGTGTACTATTTGCAGGCAAGTTTAAGGGAGAACTCTCCTGTAATCAGGGCCAAGGCACTGCGAGCTGTAAGATAGAGTTGCAATTCAAGCACCAGCTCAATTTTAATTTATTATGTTACTTCTGTGATGCAATTTCTTAATTCTTTGTCTTTCTTCTTCGTGTGCTTTTAATGGGAATAGGTCAGCATTATAGTAGAAACTGATCCAGAGGTCTTACGCGATAAATCCGTTCAATTAGCCGTAGAGGGAAGATTTTGTGATTCTGCAATTTCTGTTAGGGAAGCTGCATTGGAACTGGTAGGAAGGCATATTGCTTCACATCCTGATGTTGGCCTGCAGGTAGGCTGATTTATTTTGTTACTTTCTTTGTATAAATGCACTATTGATTGTACCCAGCTTTTCACTTTGAAAATGTTGGTGTCATGCAGTACTTTGAGAAGGTTGCTGAGAGGATCAAAGACACTGGAGTTAGCGTCCGAAAGAGGGCCATCAAAATTATCAGAGATATGTGCACTTCAAACGCCAACTTCACTCAATTTACGACTGCTTGCATTGAGATAATTTCTCGTGTTAGTGACGATGAATCAAGTATTCAGGTAACTTAGATGGAAATGAGATTTGTTAAATTATCAGGGAAATTTTTGGTATACACTACGATTATCTCCAGCAGCATTAATTTTTTCTTTTTATCTCTGGGTTCATGAATATGTTTATGATGTATGAAAAAATCCATAATACCTTACTGCTGTGGCTTATTTGTAATTCTTATTTGCACTCAGGATCTCGTCTGCAAGACATTTTTCGAGTTATGGTTTCAGGAACCTTCTGGTGTGCAGACAACGTTTTCTGGGGATGGTAGTTCTGTACCTTTGGAGGTGGCTAAGAAGACTGAGCAGATTGTTGAAATGCTGCGGAGGATGGCGAATAATCACCTCCTTGTCACTGTTGTTAAGCGCAACCTAGCCCTTGATTTTTTCCCCCAGTCTGCTAAAGCTGTTGGGATCAATCCCATGTCACTTGCATCTGTTCGCAAGCGATGTGAGCTAATGTGCAAGTGCATACTAGAAAGGATACTGCAGGTATTGGCATTGGCTTTATATGCATATGCTTAATTATTTCATATATGAATACTCTTCTAAATACTACCAGGTGGAGGAAATGAATAACACTGAAGAGGAGGTGCAAACTCTGCCATACGTGCTGGCCTTACATTCATTCTGTGTGGTGGATCCAACCCTTTGCGTGCCATCTTCTGACCCATCTCAATTTGTTGTCACGCTGCAGCCTTATCTTAAGACTCAGGTTGTATTATTATTTATTATCATTTGCTACTGCATTTCGTCTTTCAGCAATATGGGTGATAAAATGTATTTGTATATTAGTTTAGTTGTCTGCTTGAGATTGGTATGACATGTGGATATGGGGGCTGCTGTACCTGTTTGTCAATCTGAGGGTGGTAGGTACTTGGGTCAACTGGGTTGGCAACTTTGTAGATCATGTATGAACATTCATCTTTCAAGGTTAAGATCAGACAAGACTAATTATTTACATCTTTGCTAATCAAGTGCTGCAACCTAGTGGTTGGTTAAAATTTGGGCTTTCCTAGTGCATTGGCAAAGATAGATATGCTCAAGTAGGGAAAACTCCGCTACTTGATTTTGCGGCAGACTTGGGGTTAAAAGTGTGGAAGCAAGCTGATTACAGACATTTAAGCTGCTGATTTGGCATCAAGCCACAGAATAATATTTAGTTCTTGGATGTTAAAGATGGAAACAAAGAACTGGATTTGAGATTAAGTCACTGCAATAACTAGCTCAGTGACTCCAACCATTGGGGTAATGCTTCAGCTGATATGGCTTCTGTTTGTGTGCAGGTTGATAACCGAGTTGTTGCACAGTTTCTGGAGAGTATAATCTTCATAATTGATTCAGTACTTCCCTTGATAAGGAAGTTGACATCAAGTATTGTTGAAGAACTCGAGCAAGACTTGAAACAAATGATCGGGCGGCACTCATTTTTGACAGTGGTGCATGCTTGCATCAAGTAATTTCAACTACTCGTTTTCTTCTCGTAATGGTCACATTGATGTTTTTTTATCACCTATTGATGGTTTATAGTTATGAACATTTATTGTTTGATTTCATTTGCTGTTCGCTGACCTTTGCATGCATTGTGAATGGATTTGGCTGTCGATATGGATGATAAAAGCTGGTATTTACTTTTTGCAAGAAGCTGGTCTCCTTTAATTCATCTTTGAGGGGCTTCTACATTTTCAGGAATTTATCTCCTGCTGTCATTTTTTGCAGCTATTTAAATCTAATTTTCTATTTACGGCAATATTATGGACACTATTACATGTGCACTATGCAAAAACATGCTTGTAATTGAAGCTTCATAAGCCCTTTGAAATTGCGTATTATTACACTGTATGACCACGTTTATATGTGTAGCAACTTTAGATTGATAAGTTCATTGCTTTGAACCCAAAAAATTTAATCCTGTAGGGCTAAGCATTTCTTCTTGATCATTGACTTTGCAGATCAACACTGTTGTGTGTTTCTACTTTGCATTCCAGATGTGCATGATCCTTTTATTAAATTGTTAATGTAGATAGTTAAATGCTCCTCTACTTGTAGGTGTCTGTGTACGTTGAGTAAGGTTTCTGGAAAAGGGGCTAGTGTTATTGAATTCCTCATACAGGTTTTCTTCAGGCGCCTTGATGCTCAAACAATTGAGAACAAACAGGTTGGTGGATTTAGCATAGTTTGGTACTTATTGACTTCTGAGATGCCAATTAAGCATGATAGTCCAATGTTTAAGCTTTCTGTTCCTTGTGGATGGGGGCTTACATTTACTAATGTTGTGTTTCCTAACACCTAATCAGGAAACATCCATTACATTTTGTACTTGCTTCGGATGTGCTGTGCTACAAAATGAATTAACCTCATCTTTTTCTGCAAGTGACAGTTGATAGGCCGTTCTCTGTTCTGCCTTGGGTTGCTTATTCGATATGGAAATCCATTGATTAGTGGGTCAAGTAGCAAAAACATTGATGTTGGAAGTAGTATCAGCTTGTTCAAGAAATACCTCATAATGGATGACTTTAGTGTGAAAGTCAGATCTTTGCAGGTATGCCTTGAGCTCCCACTTCTCTGAAACAGATAAAATTTAAGGCTCTTCACTTATATTTGCACTGTTCGTGTAGGCTTTAGGATTTATCCTAATTGCTAGACCTGAATACATGCTGGAGAAGGACATTGGAAAAATATTGGGAGCAACTTTGTCATCGAGTTCTCATGTTCGCCTGAAGGTAGTAATATATACTCTCTTTCACGTGCTTCCTTTTCTACTAGAAACTGAATTGTTACATTTACCAGATGCAAGCTCTGCAAAATGTGTATGAGTATCTTCTGGATGCTGAAAGCCAATTGGAAACCGATAAAGCCAGTAACGATGCTCAAAATTCGGTTGGAGCTGGTCAAAGGGTGGTACCTGTTGCTGCAGGTGCTGGGGATACCAACATCTGTGGTGGGATTATCCAGTTATATTGGGATCACATTTTGGGAAGGAGCTTAGATTTGAATGAGGAAGTTCGCCAGACTGCACTGAAGGTGGGAAAATCGGTCCTATATTAAGTTCCCGTGCTAGATGCTTAGTACAAGAACTGGTTTCATCATGTAAAATAAAGGGACAAAGCCAGGAAGCTAAAATTTAGTAATTAGGAGTAGGTTCTCATGCACTGTAACTTTGCTGTACTTGGATGCTTAAGTTTCACATATTTGATTTTGTTATCCATGCAGATTGTCGAGGTGGTGCTCAAGCAAGGTCTAGTTCACCCTATTACTTGTGTTCCCTACCTCATAGCACTTGAATCTGATCCGTTAGAGTCGAACTCGAAGTTGGCACATCATCTATTGATGAATATGAATGAGAAGTATGGTGTACGGACTCTTTTTCTCCTGTTTTTGCAATATATTCGTCTTATATTTTACATAAGCAACTCAAAACCAGGGTATCACTTTTTCAGGTACCCAGCCTTCTTTGAAAGTCGATTAGGCGATGGTCTTCAGCTATCGTATTCATTCATGCATGCTCTCTCTTGTACCTCTAATGAAAAACCAAACCAAAGGCTCCCACCTAAGTCAGCTGGGAATTCCAAAGGAAAGTATGAAACTGGTGCTCTGACTCAGGCTAGGCTCGGAGTTTCTCGGATCTACAAGCTTATTCGTGGGAACCGTGTCTCGAGAAATAAATTCATGTCTTCAATTGTGCGCAAATTTGATAATCCAGTCCGTAGTGATTCAGTGATTGGCTTTCTACTGTAAGCGCCTTCAGTGTCTCTGGTCCTTTGGCATTTGGTCTGCAACTCTTTAACAGTGTTAATAATCTTGGTTTCCTTTTTTCACAGGCACTGTACCGAAGTGCTTGCTCTACTGCCATTCACTGTTCCGGATGAACCACTGTATCTCATTTATTCTATAAATCGGGTGATCCAAGTTAGGGTTGGGGCACTTGAGGCAAATATGAAGGGGCTAGTATTGCATCTGGCAGAAAGAGCTGCACGGAAAGCTCACTATCAGAATGGGTTACTTCAGGAAGAAGCAACTCAGCTCAGTGTCGGACAAGTGGGCTCAATGGACTTGAATCACATGGCTAAGGAAGAAGAGCCAGTTGATCGAGCACAGTCCAATCCTTTGAGAAATTTCGATTTGAATGGAACGTGTAAAGACGAGCCACCTGGCCATTCAGTCTCCACTTCAAGTGATCCAAATACGACAAGACATATGAACATAGTTGAACCTTGCAGCCTCTCCCAGGATGATATAAACAGAATCCAGGTAACTCACCAGTGTACAATAACCATGTGTGCGTTTTTTTGAAAGAAATACAGCATAATTTGAGGCAAGATAGGAAGAGCTTGCTGTTCTGAATCTCTGTTCCTGTGGTTGAAACAGGTTGATTGTCTCGCTGCCACTGCTTTGCAGCTTCTTCTGAAGCTGAAGAGGCACCTAAAGATTGTGTATGGCCTGAATGATTCCCGCTGTCAGGTAAATGTTTTTTCATTTGTTATCATCATTAAAAGTTTGCTAGTTATGATCGATTTATTATGTTTATTGAACTAGGTCTTTTTACCGAATGAACCCCCAAAACCTGGAGAGAATCTATCCAGGCAGACTGTTCCTTTTGATGTAAGTGATGTCCGGACTAGCTTGCCCACAACGTATCAGGATCTGGTACAGCGATATCAGGTACGCCAAAAGTAGGCTTACCAAATTTATGTCCCGCTCGAGTGTTGGGAAGTTTCTCTTTGTCTCCTGTTTGTGTAATGGGAAGTGGCTCTTTTTAATGCTTGCTGTGTCAAAAACAGGACTTAAAAAATGCGCTGAAAGAAGACACAGTGGATTATGCAACTTACACAGCAAACATCAAGAGGAAGCGCCCGACTCCTAGGAAGAAACCCGGACGAGGAGCGCCAGCTTCCCAAGACATGTATGATGATGACGATGCAAACTTGACGGGTGGCAGTGCGGTCAGGAAGCGGACAACTCCCAGGAAGAGAATTGGGCGCACATTGGCCGATGACATGGACGATGACGATGATTATGACGATGCAGACTGGATGGGTGGAGGCAGGAGGTTAACTGGTAGCAGCACGAGAGGGAACAGATCAGCAGGCAGACAGCGATGATTCTGATGAATAGGTATTGTATATACGATGAAATAGCATATGCATATATATGCTAACCAGTGTACATGAAGTTTAGTTGGCTACAGGGAATAGAGCTATAGGTGGGATAGATCTTTATTGTAGAATGACAGGAGAAGAGAAAGGAATAGGGACTTTTAGGTGGAAATGCTCAGAAAGCATGAAGAAACATGAAGATTGTTTCTTCTTCAGAGTAGTTTGTAACTTGTAGCTGTAGCTTTCTGCTGCTGTTTCCATCTTGTAATTTTTTTGTCCAGAACAGTTTTAACTGCCGATTCTTTTCTCGAAATGAAAGTCAAGGATTTGATTACTGGTATTGGTTGCTGGTAAATGAGAAAGCACAGCAGCAATTCGTGTAGCCAAAACGAGAAACTGGAAAGAGGTAAATTAGCAGAGGATAGATAGAAAGCCTTGTTTGCCATTGAACGAGCAGTCTGATTAGTATAATAGAGTGCACTCTGAAGACGGGTAGGAGAATGTGCATCGAAAGAGCACAGGAGCAGTCGAGTTATGGCGCGAACCTTGTGTTTTTGTTACTTGATTCGACTGTATTGTTGTTGGAGTTGAACATTGAACTTGTTGCAAGAACAATTGTATTATTTGAACTGGGTAAGGTGTACATAAGAAATTAGCAGGTCAAATTGGATACAACATTAAAACGGGTTGGCAGTGCTGTTGTTTTTCACAAATTCAAAACTTGTCTACATATTACACCAAAAATTTCACAGGAGAAACGAACGGACACCTTACACTTCAAATAAAGACCTTCTGTGAGGCGTCTACTACATTACCAGCTAAAAATCAGTTTTCAAAGTGTTTCAACAGCGACTTTTCATAAGAAAACCCGAAATGAGGTTTCGATTATTCTATTGCACATTACACTTCTCAAGCTTCAAACAAGATAGTGTTCTTTTTTTTTTGCTTTTCTAATTCTGGGACGGCGGTGGCTGCCTCGCATGTCTACTGCAGGCCAAGCTGGAAGTTCTTTCCGGTGTTGCTTATGGAGCAATCGCAAACAGAGGCTGCAAACATAATTCGACCAACAAGAGGCTTTAGAATCTGACCTTAGACGGGCAATACGACCGAGAAAGAAGAAGAGAGGGTGTGTGATTACCAGGTCAACACTAACTGGTTTCCCATCATCCACCAAAATTTCAGTTATGGTTCCAGACTGATCAGCCTGTGAAGCGGGGGAAAATCGGTATGATCAGTGTTAGGCAACGGGCATTTCCCAGGTGCCATGAACTACAATGATTGACGAGCAGGACAAACATACCTCGATTTCATTCATCAGTTTCATGGCCTCAATGATGCAAAGAACCTGTCCTTTCTGTACCTTATCTCCCACCTATGTAAAACGCACATTGATGGTTAAGGCAAAACCCTCATTACGACACAATCTTCAAAGTGTCCAGCCAAAGATAACTAATTTACCTTGACAAATGCCGGTTCACCTGGGGCTGGAGACCGGTAAAAGGTGCCAGCCATAGGACACTTCAATTGATGATGAGATGAAGCAGGCTTTGCAGCTGGAGGAGGCAAGGCAGGTACTGATGATGCAGAAGCTGCAGCAGGAGCGGAGGGAGCAGCTGCTGGTTGTGGTGGCATGGCCTGTGGATAAGGAGTCTGCATCATCATGAAAGGAGAAGCAGCAGGAGCTGGCGGCTGTGGGAGAGCCTCCTTTTTCCTTATCTCTATCTCGCAGTCCAATTGCTTTAGTTTCAACTCCACAATATCTCTTGAATCCACAAGTCTGCACATTGGAAGGGCCATTAGTTCCAGCAAATATAGAAGGAAGCAACTTTCCTTCCACCATTTGCATGGGACTCTACTTACTTGACCAAGTGTGACACTTGGGTCATGAATTCTGAAATCGATGCCACATCTGGAATTCTGGGTTCTGTAGTCACTGCTTTCCCGTTGGATTGGGCGGTATCATCGGATTTGGTGTCCACCAAAGGTGTATTGTTCAAAGATTCCTTGGCAGTCACCTGGAATTTTCAACCAGCACATGATGAATGGCTGATTTTAAGCAAATTAAATGCAACTCTTAGGAACAAACTACCAACAAGCAGGCTTACTTTAGCTTGCACCTTTGATACCAAAGATTCCCTCCGGCTAGGCCTCTGTGCACATAAAGCAACATTCACATCATGTCAATGAACAACAAACTGGAGAAACATCATTCTAATGATAACTAAACATTCTCTAACAAGCTCCAGAACTAAATTCAGATGCTTTAAGCTAGAGAACAGTAAGCAGGAAACTCTGATGGGTTCAAAGGAGCTTCATAGAGGCAAGCAAATTCTTCAACTAATAGTTATCAGAGAAAATAACAAAATTCTTCCAAGTTTCATTCCTTAAGCTGAGAACTAGCTGATAGCCATAGAGGCATACAGCCCTCCCCGTGAAAACACCCCCACCTGCCAAATATGGCCAAACCTCTCCCATCAAGATCAAAGCTGAACCTAGAAGCTAGCTTAAGGTATCAAATCAGTTCAATCCTCATTTCATCCGACAACTGGAACACGACAACAACAAAAAAACAAAAAAAATCAATACCCACCAAACTCAGACTTGAATTGAAGCCTTGGACTAACACCAAGCATCCATCAAAGAGCTTAGAGTAAAGCCAAACTAAGCCATACAATTCAAAAAGGCTAGAACTACATGCAGAATTGGATTAAGAGCAAAAATTTGCTATCACATAGGCCTAATAACACCGAAATCTAACCTGCAACGGTGTAATTAAGGAAAAGGAAGAGGGAAGAAGGGAAATGGTGCTACGCTACAGCAACAGTATCTAAATGGTGATAAGTAAGACAGGAATTGGAAAAATCAAATGGGAAATCGGGGAAGGGAAAATGACCTGAAAAGCAGAGAATGTGGATCCAAGAGAGAGAGAAGAAGCTGGTTTGGAAGCACGAGGGAAGGCGATCCTGTTGGATTCCAAGGGAGCAGCTTGAGATGAGGGAAACCCAGAAGCAGCAACGGTGGTTTTGGGGCAAGGAACGGAGATCGACGCCATGGGAGCGGTAGCTAAGAGGTTCCCTTCAAGCAAACAGAGGATAAAGAAGCCGCCGAGATCCGAACTGAATTAACAGTCCGGCCAAGTTGAGATGGCAGAGATAGAGAGAAGGGAGTTCAGAAGAAATGAAAGGGTTTTGTAAGGGAAATGCGGCGGTGAGATCGAAGGAGGAAATGAGCGGCGAAATTGGCGAGAGAGAGGAAACGCCAACTGGGTTATGGTTCTCTTGGACAGACGGACAATGGGACGAAGTAAAGTTTTTGGATTTGTCTTTGTTTGGAGCAGAGCTGTGCCGTCTCGTCGTGGGTCTGGGAGTGTTTTTCAAAGGCAGAGTTTCGATACTATCAATGTAGTAGTAACCAGAGAGAGAGAGGAAGAAGGAAGAAAAGTGGTAAATTGATGAATTGAATTGTGGCTTGTGGGAATCAATTATTCGCCTCGTTTCACAAGTCTCTCACACGTTGCCCTGTTTTTGGGTCTCAATCTCAACTCTCAAGTCTTAACTACCAACAACGGCCAACTTCACTTAACACCTTCCCACTCACACAATTAGAACTTCCAGGCTTCCAGCATTTCTCTCCAACGCCCCACATTTTCTACTTCTAGCCGACCACTTGCTTTCCTCTCCTTTCCCTCAAATATTTCTTTGTTGATTCCATTTCTCTTCCTAATCTTCTACTTAATCTTAAGAGGATGATTTGTTTGAAGGACAAAAACCCATGTATCATTAGTTAAGGTACAGACTACGGTCGTATATAAGCAGTGATAGATCGAACAATATTTATAGCAGATCATCTACTTAATTGTTGTCAATGAACTTCAAGCTTTTGGCCTAAAATAGTTGACATACTCATCAAATTAGGTGGAAAAGCTTGAGTTGTGTAAGTTGTTTCAAACTAGCAACCTATGGCTATGGAAGGTGGTAAGAGCCACTCTGCCCCCACAAGGTGCTAGTTGGGACAGTAAACAAAAGAATGGATCTTGATGCAGTACATTTCCAACAGGAAACAAGTTTCCCATACATTGATCGAAAACAGGCTTATACTACAAGCTGCAAGCTCAGAGTCTGACTTGGAAAGTTCAACTTCTGAAAAGTTTCTTCAGTGCTGCTTGCCACAGACAGGTGAGAAGTTCATCAGCTGTCCTTCATGGGACAATTACGAACAAAGGCTGCAACACAGAGCCGGGGAAACAAAAGCTTTTAGAATTTGACCTAAGATGGTATTGAAGTTTGTCTGATGGTGAGAAAGAGGGTGTTAATGTGATTTACCGTGTCCAAGCTAACTGGTTTTCCATCTTCAAGCAGAATTTCAGCTATTGTTCCAGACTTATCAGCCTGTTGAATAAGTAGACAGATATGTGAACATTAACAAATACACTTCCTGTACCAAAGGAGATCCGTATCATGACAAAAGGAAATACATACTTCGATTTCATTCATCAACTTCATGGCCTCGATGATGCAAAGGGCCTGACCTTTCTGCACCTTGTCTCCTACCTGTAAAAGACGACCAAAATTTTCTATACTAAAGTGATCTGGCAAAAACTTGTGTCCGTGTCTCGGAGCATAAGCTGTAACCAATAATATGTGTTTACCTTCACAAATGGTGGTTCGCCTGGGCCCGGACAGCGATAAAAGGTGCCAGCCATTGGACTCTTTAACGGTGGATGAGAAGAAGAGCTAGTCTTTGCAGCAGGAGGCGAGCTAGGTGCTGAAGCTGGAGCTACAGGAGCAGGAGAAGCTGTTGGTTGTGGCTGTGGTGGTGGTGCCATGGCTTGTGGATATGGTGATTGCATCATCGTGAAAGGAGCAGCAGGTGGCAAAACCTGTTTTTTCCTTATAATAAGTTCAAAGTCCATTTGCTTCAATTTCAGCTCTGCAATATCTCTCTTATCCACAAGCCTGCAAATTATACCTCACATTAACTTATGCAATTGCTTGCAGTGCAATGTGAACTTGTAAATAAGCAGCCAGCCAAGTTGACAGGGATTTACTTGACAAGATCTGCTACTTGAGCCATGCACTCTGCCACTGTTGCTGAATCTGGAATTCTACCTTCAGGTTTGCTGTCTGCCGGAGGAATTGAATTCGAAGATTCCTCCGCAGATAACTGGAATTTAAGCAGCAGCAGCAATAGGTGAATCAGCCAGTGTCTCAGGTGTAGCTAAATTAAGTATACACAATCTTGCAAGAAGTTCACAACGAATACCTTATTCGCTTGTGCGTGCACTTTTGTTACAGAAGACTGCTTCCTGCTGGGCCACTGCACAAAGAATCCAACATGATCATGCCACAATACGAACAAGCCACTAGCATTTCGACTTGCTACATGATTTCAAGAATTGGGATTTGGGTTCAGGTAGCAATACTAATACAGATTTCGATGGCTCTAGTCTTGAGCTGCGAGAGTAGCAACCTAAACTAGCTAGCAAAGGTAAGTAGGTAACCCCTTCCAGGCTTCTACCCTGTCAAACCTTGACTAAAAAAATGCATACTTAACAAAAAAATTACGATCTTTGAGTACTGGGCATGTACAAAAGCATTCAACTCCGCCCTACAAGTTGATAGCTAATGCAATGTATATCCAGCATATTGGTTTCAAAGCCCTCCCTTTGGTTCCATATATGCTCAACAAAAATGCCATGTCAAGAATAAAAGTTCAATTTCGGGAAAACAGAAAGGCAACATCTTTCTTTCTCGAAAGAACGAAATCCACCAGCGGCAATTCATGATCGCTGAAGGGAAGAAATAGGGAAACTACTCAATTGAATTCATGAATCCCCAGCTCGATTAATGTTGGCAAATGCCACCAAGCATAATTGAATTCTTCCAGTAAGAAAGGCGAAGGAGAGTGAGTGACCTGAAAACCAGAGAAAGTGGGTCGCAGGGAGAGGGAGAGGGAAGGGGGGGAAACGATAGGGAAGGAGAGTCTCTGAGGTTGAGCTGAGTCCGGCGGTTGAGACGGAATACGTGCAGCCGTAGCTACAGTGTTGGGTTTGATGCAGGGAGACGACGTTGATGCCATGGTTGCCGGCCAGTTGAAAGTCAAGCCGGACGGAACCTTTGAAGCAGAGACAGGGCAGAGTTTTGGGAAGAAGAGGGAAGGCGTTGAGACTTGGTGGAGAGTTCCGAACTGAATTAACAGTCGGAGGGAAGAGGAGACGGAACGGAAGCGAGATAGCGAGCCAGCTTGGTTGGGCTGGGGCCCAGCCCAACTCGATAAGGACCAAAATATATGTTACCGCAGTAAGCTACTCCGGATAGAATTATATAATATATTTATTTATTATTATAAAAATTGACAATTAATTGGCTTGGGCCCAAATGTAAACTCCAGTAGCACACCGGGCGTCTAAGTCCTTATGAGTGATGGCCCAATTAAATGCTTTCTCTCCATGCCACACCAGAATTAAACATTTTGGAACCTAAAATTAAGGGTATTTTGGGGAAATTGGTGCTCATTGTTTGCAGTAACAAAGAAAAGTGAAGGGCATGGTAGTCATTTCGACTACTCCGCGTTTTATCCGCGTTAATAATTTCATGAGGCGGTAACTCTGCACTATTAATAGCACCTTTGCCCGCCCTTCTGCAACGGTCACAGTACTCTGGAATCTGGATTGGAGTTTTGAGAGGGCTCTTCTAGAGGCGGTGGAGTGGAGAATAGGGGTTCGATCGTTCGTTAAGCGTGTTCCGTTGATAATGTCTACTTCGCGTCGGAGATTTTCAGTTTGGTAATTCCCTTGCCTGATTTCCTCCTGTGCCTCTTCAGAAAATTCGGAATCCCGATAATGCTGTCTTCTTATTCTGCCCGCCGAGAAAGGATTTTTCCGTTCGACTCACAGCTCGTGGAATTTCGCTAGGGTTTCGACATGATTAGCAGGGGTTAGGGTTTTTTGGTACTCTTGGTCGTCGCTCCGTTGCAGGATGGGTTTTTGCGTGTTTTAGGAAATATGACGCGATCTGGGCTGGACCAACCTTTCTTTGGTACTGTTCTCCGTGTCCCTTCTTTTCTATGTTAAGAATTTGAATGGATGTGCATGCCGTTTGTTTCAGTTACTCCTTATTGCTTGTTCAATGATGCTTTGTCTTGCTGTCCTACTGCCCTGTACTTCTGGACTGATCATGATCAAATTGTGGGTGTCGCTAGACAGTGTTTGCTCAATCCTTTCTATATGATAGATAGATCCCGAAAATACATGGTACATGTCTTTGATGCTTGTATGAAATTGGGTATGGTTTTGTCTTGGATTAAGATGATTAGATACTCGCTCCTGTTGCCCTTTTGCCCCACTTCAGGTTCATCAGCCACGATAGTGTTTCATAAATGGGAATTCCTTTGTGGAGTTCTAGAAGCAAACTTGAAAATGATTACTACATCATAGATAAACCCATCAAATATCTGGTCACTGTCGGTTCAATGTTTATCTGAAAGCTGATTTGATATTGCTTATAACAAGTGATTGCCTTATTCAAGTTGCCCTTCTGCTCCACTTCAGTTGCCCCCCTGTTCTGAACAGAACATAGTATATGGATTCCTAGAAGAGAACTTGAGAATGAGTACATGAATCCAAAAAAAACATATTGTCTATGTCCGTTCAATGCTTATATGAAAGTTGAGTTGGTGCTGCCTTATAATAAGTGATTAGTACTCATTTCAGTTGCCCTTCTGCTCTACTTCAGTTGTAACCATGTTCTATAAATGAAAAGTTTGATATGGAGTCCTAGAAGGGAACTTGAGAATGAGTACTACATCATTGATGAATCCACGTTCATTGCTTATCTGAAAGTCGAGTTGGTGCTGCCTTATAATAAGTGATTAGTACTCATTTCAGTTGCCCTTCTGCTCTACTTCAGTTGTGACCATGTTCTATAAATGAAAAGTTTGATATGGAGTCCTAGAAGGGAACTTGAGAATGAGTACTACATCATTGATGAATCCACGTTCATTGCTTATCTCAAAGTCGAGTTGGTGCTGCCTTATAATAAGTGATTAGTACTCATTTCAGTTGCCCTTCTGCTCTACTTCAGTTGCGACCATGTTCTATAAATGAAAAGTTTGATATGGAGTCCTAGAAGGGAACTTGAGAATGAGTACTACATTATTGATGAATCCACGTTCATTGCTTATCTGAAAGTCGAGTTGGTGTTGCCTTATAATAAGTTATTAGTACTCATATCAGTTGCCTTTCTGCTCCACTTCAGTTTTGAACGTGATCTGTAAACAGAAAGTACAATAGGAAGTCCTAGAATTGAACTTGAGAATGTGTACTAGATAGATAGACCCAGAAAAAACCATTGATGATTAATTACTCATGGAGCAGTAGAAGGGGACTTGCAGTGAGCAGTACATCATAGTCATTCACTTAAATGGTTATCTCAAAGTTTGTTCTAGTTCTTACTATAGTGAAATGATCAGTTACTCATTCTAGTTGCCTTAGTTATGCAATTGTCAACTCTTAAAATTCTTGGCGGGCCCTTACTGTTTGAGAAAGTAAGATTTCATGATCATCGACTGATTCAAGTTGCCACTTATTGAGATGATCATTGGCTGATTCAAGTTACCTTTTGCTCCCTTCAATCACGATAACAGTCTGCAAGCTGAAAGTATTGTGTGGAATCAATCTTAGGTGAGACTTTTAAACTTAATACTAATATATAGTTACTTTTCTAGGAAGTCCGTACACCTAAAAAATATGATATACCTGTTGGTTCACTGTTGATCTGAAAGTTCCGTCTAGTTTCGCCTAATTATTGAGTCATCATGTACAAATGTACTCATTAAAGTTTCCCTTCAGCTCCCCCTCAACGTGCATCAATTGTGATGCATTAACGTTTTTTATGAATTCGTGAAGAGAACTTGAGAAAAAGATTCGAATGCTCTGGTTGTTTGTAACATCCAGAAATACTCAAGTCATGTAAGGTTGCTGCTAATCTAAAATGTCGGTCTTCTTTCGCCTTATAATTATGAGGATCAACCTACTTCATCTAGTTGCCCTTCTGTTCCACGTCAGATTTTCGTGAACTTAGGAAGATATCTTCAGTGTCAGTGTCTCGCTACAAAATCCAAGGATTACATCATAGTTCATGGTTTTTGTTTCATCTGACTGGAAGGTTTGTGTTGTTGCTTGATCTTGATCTGATATGATTTTCGATTTGTCGTTACCTTCGGTTTCCCCTTAGTTCCTCTGGTTTATTAAGGTACTACTATTTTCTGCAAGTTGAAACCCTTTCAATGTGTCCAACAAATAGCTCCAAGAAACCCTTTAAATAAGATGATGATTAGTTACTCATTCCAGTTGCCTTCCTACTCCACTTCAGATTCATTAGTCGTGACATTATCTTTTTAGCAGGAAGTACTTTATATAGTTCTAGAAGGGAACTTGAGAATGAATTTCACCATAGATAAAATCAAGAAAGTACCTTGTCCATGTCAGTTAAAGCCTATATGAAAGTCAGGTCCGATTATGATGAGTTATTCATTCTAGTGATTGTCTGGTGGCGGAAGAAACACGAATTATCTCCAAGGAACACGATGACTTCTTGAACGACTTCCTTTCCCTACCATGCAGTTTCGAGGTTAGCTTCCTTAAAAGAAAGTAGTGAACTAGGAATTAGCAGCAAAAAGGAGAAAATCATTTCTGTTCTCCCTTTGTGGTTCTGAAGTAATATTACTTTGTTCTGTCAAGTGCCATTATCATTGATCGACGAAAGGATAAATATAATTTGTGGAATTGTGTGGCGGAAGTGCTTCTTGTGTGTTGCAAGTAGCAAAAATTACTAGAGGTTCAATTACTTGAAAAACTTGAGTTTGATTTGGATCTTCAGGTGCTTTATGGGTGTACTGGCATTCTTTACTGAGCCCAAAGAACTACCTTTTGCTGCTGTAATTTCTCATTGATGGTTTGGCTTCATTGAAGATTGTTTTTCAAGTTATATTTGCATGTATGGTAATTTTACATGTGTGATTCAGGGATCATGTTAGAACTTGGATTATCTGAAGATGGAATATTTGCATGTCCCTCATATAGTCGGATTTGAATTGCATAACTAACCCTTACGTGCCGAATACTACTATAGTCGGGCATGCATTTGTTGCTAGGATTTCTGAACCTCTATTTTTCTGTAGTTTAAATTATCTACTAGCAGGTAACAGAGGATTAACTAACAAAAAGAAAGAAAAACAGTAGCAATGAAACCATGTTGCAAAGTCACAGCCTTGGTAAATTGTGTATGCGTGCTGGAGTCCAGGAATTATTGGAACTTCTAATTCAGTAGCATTTGATGCCCCAGAACGTGAAAATGAACGAAGTTCATTTGCTCTGTTGCAGCATGTGTCCTGCATGTTTTGCCGTGGTTGGTGTTGTTGGATTTGGTAATGTTTTCTTTCTGATGTTAATATGTTTGAGAGGGTTGAGTAGATGTTGATGCTATCGAGGTCAGGATATCTGCTTTTGATATGTTAGACTGCTCACTTTAACTATTTGGAGTCCCAAGACCTATGACACTCGAGCAATTGTTTCACCTGTAAGTATATTCAATCATCCAACTTTCAGAGATTTCTAAAGAGAGGAAAAGCTTCTTAATGGATATAATCTGAATATAGTATGTGCATAATATCTTCCTGAATCGATTAGAGATTTGATGGTAGAGAATTTGATCCCTTTCTTTATCCTTTTCTAACGAATTTTCAATTTGGTGAACCTAGTTGGTGGATAAATTCCCTTGTCAGTTTCTTGCCAATCTAGAAGTTGGGTCCGTTTTCACCTTATAATTAAGAGGGTCTATCAGTTTTACTTATTCCAGTTGTTGTTCTTCTTCTCCAGATTCCTCATCCGTGGCAGTATTTGGTGAACTATAAATCTTGAAACGAATCCTAAAAGGAGCTGAATAGTATTCTGTCAACTTAATTTCTAAAATGAATCTTATGGGGGAATGCAGCAATGCTCACTTCTAGATTGGTATCTTATGTCACAGTCGACTGACCCTGAAGATTCTATTCACGTTCTACTTACAGGTCCCGATCTCAATTCAAGTTGTAGACAAAAGTTGGTATTGAGGTCGATTTAGATGTTATTGAGGATGACCCTGCGCATAAACGTTTGGTATGGAGGTTTCCTAAACAGAAATGCGATGGACATTGTAGGAAAATGTTCTGGACTTGTAGTTCCTCTACATTGTCCAGTTCAAGTCGTGTAGCTTCAAGATGCAGCCTCATGTCTCCGTTGTTGCCAGCTTCTAGATTGATCAATGCATTTGAGACTCTTCAAGGCTTGCTGGATTGCCTTCTTGACTGTCTTTATGTTGGCTACGTATTGCTTCACCTTGTTATGATCCACATTGCTTCGTCTTCTTAGGAGGGTTGATTGAACTTGGCATGTGGAATCCTTTCATTGTAGATGAGGAATCTTATGTGGCACTGCACAAGTCTGGGGCCCTTCGAGATCCATGCAACATCTGGTTGAGGAACTTATTTTTATCCTGGACCAATGCATGTTTGGTTAAGTTGCAGCAACGCCAGCAACTTCTTCTCCATGTTGTCTTGTTAAGTGGCAGTACCAGCAAATTTCTCAGAAACTTCCAATTTTTTAAAGCTAGGAAGATGCCAGCTAATTGTGTGTTTCCCAATCTGTTCTAGTTATTTGCAACTTATGAGATTAGAGGGTGTGGCCTTGAGGGATTTAACTTGGGAAGATGTGGCGGCCACTTGGGAAGATGTGGATTCCACAAGCCTGCACATTGTACCTCACATTAACAGTGATGTACTTGACAGTGATTAAGCAGCAAGCCAAGTTAATAGTGATTTACTTGACAAGGTCTGCTACTTTGAGCCATGCACTCTGACACTGTCGATGCATCTTGAATCCTACCTTCAGCTTTGCTGTCTGCAGGAGGAGAAGAATTCGAAGATTCCTCAGCAGATAACTGAAGTTTAAGCAGCAGCAGCAATAGGTGAATCAACCAGTGCGTCAGGTGTAGCTAAATCAAGGATACAGAAGACTGCTTCCTGCTGGGCCACTGCACAAAGAACCAACATGGTCATGCCACAATACGAACCAGCCATTAGCATTTTGACTTGCGACAGGATTCAACAATTGGGGGCAGTTAGCAATGCCAATTCAGAATTCGATAACTCTAGTCTTAAGGTGCAAGAGTAGCAACCTGAACTCGCACAGAAACAAACAAGTGAATTAAACAGTCGGAGAGAAGAGGAGACGGAAGTGAGATAGCGAGCGAGTTAGTCTGGGCTGGGGCCCAGTCCAACTCGATAAGGACCAAAATATATGTTGCAGGTATGGTTTGGGCCCAAATATAACGGAAGCTAAAAATAAGGGCCTTTCGGTGAAATTGGTGCCCAATTGCCCATTGTTGGCAGTAACGAAGATAAGTCAAGGGCATTGTAGTCATTTCTAATACT